ATATATATATATATATATATATATATATATATATATATATATTCTATATTTCAGACCATTCTCTGTAAACCCTAGAGATGGTTGTGCGTGAAAATCCCAGTATATCAGTTTCTGAAATACTCAGACCAGCCCGTCTGGCACCAACAACCATGCCACGTTCAAAGTCACTTAAATCACCTTTCTTTCCCATTCTGATGCTCGGTTTGAACTGCAGCAGATCATCTTGACCATGTCTACATGCCTAAATGCATTGAGTTGCTGTCATTTGATTGGCTGATTAGAAATTTGTGTTATCGATCAGTTTGACAGGTGTACCTAATAAAGTAAACGTTAAGTGTGTGTGCGTGTACAGGGTTCAACACTAAGGATTTTTCCTACTGGCCCGATTGGGCCAGTGGTTCAGATTTTTACTTGCCCTGCTAAAATTTTCATTGGCCCCACCAAATAAAATATGTTATTAGCTATTTCTTAGCCACATACAATATCTTAAATAATGTTTCAAAAGCCAAACATAATTGAGTTTGTGGTCAGTTTTAGTATTTTTTTCATGTTTTTAAAGAAATATTATTCAGTTCATCAAGTTCAATAAATGTAAAAGTTTTTTTAAATTGTAAATTATTATTTTTTTACAATTTTAAATAACTGCTTCCTTATTGTATGCAGTTTCAAACAAAATTATTATTTCAGACATTTTTGCTTTTATTACTATTACTATTAAAAATAAAAATAATAATAATAATAACAACAACAATAATTAATATCAGAGTGATTTCTAGATCATGTGACTCTGAAGACTGGAGTAATGATTTTGAATTTATAATCACTGGAATAAACTATTAAATTAAGTGATAAACTACTTTTAAATAGTTATTTTATAGTGCAATAACATATCACAATTTTACAATTTGTACTGTATTTATGATGAAATAAATGCAGCCATGTTGGCTAAAATTATGCATTATAGACTTAAAGTATGGAGAGCAATAACAGATGAACAACGACTGCGTAAGATCATGAAGCAGATCAGTGTTGATCTTTCTTTCGGGCTGTCAGTGCAGAAATAAACAAAACAATAAGCCTAACACAACATATTATAAGATTAAAATATGGAAAAATTATCAGATGGTAACTTTTCCTAATGGATAAACAACTCTCAGTAATATTTCAGCATGCTTTCATTTTCGTATTAGACATGAAACGCACATTTTGCCGGTAGGAATGACATCTCTGCCTATTCTCATTAATTCTCTCTTCGTATAGCCGTAAATAAGGCTATTACACAATCATAAGACACTGTAATATAGCCTGGTTCGTTAGTTTATTGGACCATTTTGTTTTCTTTATAGTCGATCAGCTCAATTGAGTAGAGACCATCTTATTCAGGCGATGTTGGGCCGATTGATTTGGCGCAGATCCCAACGTGATTGCTGGACATACGCCAAACAATCTGCGATAATGGGGGAAATGAGACAGATTCCGAAACAAACGTCTATGTGTGAAAGCACCCTAAGATTGTTTGTGCACGCAATTGACAGACAGTCGCAGCAAAACTTTTGTGACAAGGCAGCACTGGCCCGATCTGGCCAGTAACTATTCTGTACGCAGGTTCGAGTGTCTCGCACGAATCCCGGGCAGGACTTATTGTCGAGCCCTGATATATATATCTCTCAATATCATATCTCAATAGCATTTTGGCAAGCCTATTCTTGATGCCAATCTATCCTTAACTCACCTGTTCTCAAATTGAGCATTCACTGGCTTCCAGCATTTGCACAAGCCTTCTTTAAATAAACTTCTCAAATAACTTCCTCATATCTCACCAAAAACATTCCCTACTTTTTGTTTAATTTAAAAAAGATGCCTTGAGGGCCTTTTCTCTGTGTGAATATTTGAGGATGAAAGAGTGAGAATGATGTGATATTTGCAGCCATATTTCCCCAGGTGCCATAAATTTTCATACTTCAAAGCTGAGCGTTTCTGATCCTGAGAGTCTGAAAGTCTGAAGTAATTATTCCGTTTGCTCTCTCGTCGCTAGTTCTGCAGGATGGAAAGAAACAAAGGATGTTTTTTGAGTTGATTAAATGCGTGCAAGGCAGATAACTGACCCGTTTCTTCTCTCTGTTCTTTTCCAGCCAATGTTTTGGACTCTATGCTGCTGAGGAATTCTGGGAAGGTGGAAGAGCGTCGGGAGACAGGAAGTGATGCGCCAGCTTTACCTCAGCGCTTCCTTTGGTGTTACTGTTATCATCACTGTCCGGAGGACTCCACGAATAACACGTGCAGGTATTAGGACACATGATGGCGATTCTACAATTGGAGATGCAATTTGCATTATTTAAAGTTATAATTGTTTTCAAAAAGTTAAAGTATTTCCTTTTAGTATTGTCTGTCATCTCCGTTATTGTCAAATAATTGCTTACCAAATATTTCACTATATTTTTTACTTTGTAATAATAATCAGAGGCGCAAAAAGGGGGTATGCAGGGAATGCGGCACATAGGGGCGCCACACATGGGGAGGTCTATCTAGATAGACATGGTCTATCTAAATAGATAGATAGATAGATAGATAGATAGATAGATAGATATAGATAGTTAGGTAGATAGATAGATAGATAGATAGATAGATAGATAGATAGATAGATAGATAGATAGATAGATAGATAGATAGATAGATAGATAGATAGATAGATAGATATAGATAGTTAGGTAGATAGATAGATAGATAGATAGATAGATAGATAGATAGATAGATAGATAGATAGATAGATAGATAGATAGATAGATAGATAGATAGATAGATAGATAGATAGATAGATAGATAGATAGATAGATGGATGGATGGATGGATGGATGGATGGATGGATGGATGGATAGATAGATAGATAGATGGATAGATGCATGCATGCATGCATGCATTCATACATACATACATACATACATAGATACATACATACATACATACATACATACATACATACATTCATACATACATACATACATACATACATACATACATACATACATACATACATTCATTCATACATACATACATACATACATACATTCATTCATACATACATACATACATACATACATACATACATACATACATACATACATACATACATACATACTGTACATACTGTACATACTGTACATACATTCATACATACATACATACATACATAGATACATACATACATACTGTACATACATTCATTCATACATACATACATACATACATACATACATACATACATACATACATACATACATACATTCATTCATTCATTAACACCCGCCCAATGCGGGTAGATTTCATCTTTGGCGGGTTAGACAGACATCTCCACTAGCCACTTTGGCTGGTTGAAAAGAATTTTAAATTGTGGTTATCTTAAAAGCAGGGTTTGACTATAAGAATGACCCAATACGCGTGCAAATGTGATCTTAGAATGGAGTTTTGTAATTAATTACAAATAGCCAGGCAAAAAAAGTAATGCTAATGAACCCACAGCCCTGCTGCTTTCAAGAGCTCTAAATATGTCTTTTTGTAAGCAGCACCGGTTGCTTTCGCTTTAAACAGATTGTTAATTGACCTTAACCGTGTGACCACCCTTCCATTATCACACAGTATGTTTTTCACCTGCTTTCTTTTGCTTACGGTTATTTTTGTTTATATGGTTTAATTATAAATTTTTTACAACATAATTGCTTTAATATGAGATAAACTCTCCATTTATGTGTACTTAACTGGTGATCTGAGAGACCTTAGTGAGGACAGATTACTGTGCATATGTTTGATACATGACAGTAATTATTTTAAAAGTCAATTGTTTATCTTTGTTTTTTTTTTTAAAGAAATGTTTTGTTAAATAAAAAGTATAGTATAAAGCTATATTTAGCTTGTTTTGACACATTTAAGTTGGAGGTAAATCCTTGGAGGTAAATTAGGTAAATCCTTAATTTTGAGTAAAGCCATGTGAAATAAAAACTATATGTATGTATATATATATATATATATATATATATATATATATGTGTGTATATATATATATATATATGTGTATATATATAATTTTTTTTTTTTTTTTTTTTTTGTCTACTTTTTTTTTTTTGGATTGGACACTGCATTGCACTGTAAATAAATGCACCTTGCACCATAGTGCTACGTCGGCTGAGCCATCATTTATTTTTATATTTATATTTATTTGTTCTTGTTTCACACAGGCCCTAACAACGCCTCTGTGTGACACTGCAATATAACAGAGTGAAACATTTAAGAGGGTCTGAATACTTTCCATAACTACTTTATATATTAATCATAAATAAATGAAAATTTTGTTTTTTGTTTTGTTCACATTTTGTAGAAAACATATATTTTATGGCCTGTAAGATATGTTGATCCACTTCAATTAAAATAACAACAAATACAGTCAAAAGCAGACAGCTATTAACTTTGGACACCTGCAATTGTTGATTCAGTCATATGCGGTTGCAGGTGTGTTGTAAGCAGTGTTACGTGTGTGTGTGTGTGTGTGTGTGTGTGTGTGTGTGTGTGTGTGTGTGTGTGTGTGTGTGTGTGTGTGTGTGTGTGTGTGTGTGTGTGTGTGTGTGTGTGTGTGTGTGTGTGTGTGTCTAGGACAGACGGCTACTGCTTCACCATGGTGGAGGAAGAGGGTGGAGCGGCTGTAGTGACGTCAGGCTGTCTGGGTCTGGTGGGATCAGAGTTTCAGTGCCGAGTGAGTCATAAACCTCTCTAATTTCCAAAACAAACCTCTTAAGTGTTAGAGCATCAGTCCTCGAGCAGAGACCAAAAAAACGCCTTGTGTAACTCACTGTCAATGAAACAGCACTTTCAAAACCCCTCACGCATTAGAGGAATATTAAGGGAACAGCTAACCAAAAAATTTAAGTTCTGTCATTTATTAACACTTAAAGTTAAAGTCAGAATTATTAGCCCTCATGCTTGCACTCTCAGAAATAAAGGTATGCAAGCTGTCACTCAGGTGGTACCTTATTAAAAGGTGCACATTTGTACTTAAAGGGTTCATACCGGTACCTAAAAAGTATTTATTAGTACCTAAACATTTTAATAGGAACACTAGGGATGCAACATTACAGTTAGCTCACGGTTCAACACATACCTCGGTTTTTTAACACGGTTTTCGGTTCGGTTCTCATGGCTTGACACGTGTTTTTTTTATTTTTATTCTATAGGCAATAGAAACAGTAAGAGGTTAAGGAGAAAAAATTTAAACGATTTATTGCAATACTCATTTGGTTTTACTTAAAAGTCAAGAAAAGTACACTAGTTCCTAGTGTCTTGTATAAAAAAAAATTACACTGAAATCTCACAGCTGAGTACAAACTTTACGAACATAAAATCCTACACTTTGAAAATAAACATACATATGAAGTTAATAAAGATAAATTGGCCATTTCAAATAAACATATTTGTACTTAAGTAAACATAAACAAACCATCTTAATTATGTCGGTGCTGAAAAAATGTGTGAATGTAGTCTGTAACTCAGATCGAGTGCTTTTATAAGATGACAAAAGCCCGCATCTCCAATCACCGAAAAAGGTCTGCAAATCTTTAGCAATAAACTCCCGCACTGCCTGTGTTATTTTTATGTGTCTCACGGAACCAGTTGGGTAGGTTCAGGGAGGGATTGTTGCTATTTGGAGGACTTTATTACCTTATTACCTTACTTTATTATCCTGCCTTCAGACAGTGATATTGCTAGGTGATGGCGCTGCAGATGTGCAGTCATGGTTATACGTGTAAAACAATGCTTGCACACAGTTATTTTTGTTCACCGTTTTTTCTTTTATTAGCATTATGCTTATACTGGCAAAACCGAAATGTCCTCTCACCGCAGATTTGAAAGACGCTGGTGCTTTCTTGTACTGTTGCCTCACTTCGCCGGCGCTTCCTCGCACTGTTGCCTCAGCCTCACTTCACTGCCGCTCGCCATGTTAAAGTGTGGAATGATGGTCAAGCGCCCCCTAACTTTAGTGCATAGGGATTGGATATTTACTTGTGGGGAGGAGTTTTCCCATCTCAGCTCATGGATTTAGAGGCACACACAGTCAATTCAGGGAGATATGAAACGCACATAAATTATTTAAACGCAAAACTGAGAAAACCGCAATTCACAAGCGCATATTGAACTGTGGTGGTCTTACAGAACGGTTCAATATTATTATTGAAGGTATTAAGGTATTAATATGGACCTTTTAGGTAGAAATTTGTATCTTTTGAAAAGGGACTACCCCAGTGACAGCTCACATACCTTTATTTCTGAGAGTGTAACGGAGGCAGATTTTCTCAACACATTTGTAAAAATAGTAGTTTTAATAACTCATTTCTAATAACTGATTTACTTTATCTTTGTTATGATGACAGTGAATAATGTTTAAGTAGATATTTTTTAAGACACTAGTATTCAGCTTAAAGTGACATTAAAAGGCTTAACTAGGCAGGTCAGGGTAATTAGGCAAGTCATTATACAACTATGGTTTGTTCTGTAGACAGTTAAAGAACAAATTTAGCTTAAGGGGGCTAATTATATTTACCCTAAAAAGATTTTTTTTTTTAAATGCTTTTATTCTAGTCGAAATAAAACAAATAAGACTTTCTCCAGAAGAAAAACAATATTCTAGGAAAAATTCTGAATCCGTTAAACATCATTTGGGAAATATTTGATCATTGGGATTTAAACTGTATGTAGTGGAGTAAAAGAAATATAGATATGTGTGTGTGTGTGTGTTTATGTAGTGTGTGTGTTTGTGTGTTTAGGACACAGGGAACTCCAAGCAGCGGCGGGCGCTCGAGTGTTGTACAGATCAAGACTACTGTAACCGAGACCTGCACCCAACACTGCCTCCGTTACGCACACCTAGTGAGTATGCACACACACCAATATACATATACACACACACACATTAAACGCGTTCACCAAACACATACATGCACACATACATACACCAAACACACATGCACACACATACATACAACAAACACAAATAAAATAATATGAATACATAATATAATAACACAAATGTATAAGATAAGATAAGATGAGATAAGATAAGATAAGATAAGATGAGATGAGATAAGATAAGATAAGATGAGATGAGATGAGATGAGATGAGATGAGATGAGATGAGATGAGATGAGATGAGATGAGATAAGATAAGATAAGATAAGATAAGATAAGATAGGCAGTGCAGTGGGTGGCACTGTCGCCTCACATCAAGAAGGTCGCTGGTTCAAGTCTCGGCTGGGCCAGTTGGCATTTCTGTGTGGAGTTGGTATGTTTTCCCCAATGTTGGCATGGGTTTTCTCTGGGTGCTCCGGTTTCCCCCACCGTCCAAACGCATGAGCTATAGGTGAGTTAGATAAGCTAAATTGTTCGTAGTGTATATTTCCCAGTGATGGGAAGGGCATCCGCTGTGTGAAACATATGCTGGATAAGTTGGCGGTTCATTCCGCTGTGGCGACCCCTGATTAATAAAGGGACTGAACCGAAAGGAGAATGATATGATATGATATTTGTTAGTTTCTTTTGTTTTGTTTCTATTTGTTTCAGTAACAATGTTACTTTAGTTTCTTTTTATTTTATTTTATTCATTATTATTGTTATTATTATTATTATTTTATTTTTATATAGATCCTTTTTTAATTTAACTTTAAAATTAAGTTAGACTAAATTCTACAATTAACAATTGTCTTCCCTTGATACAGTGTATATTTTATTTTATGAGGCAGCCCAAAACACCCCAAACACACTAAACACACTCACACAAAGTCACACCTCTGCTTAAAAGCAAGAGATGGCATCACACACACACGCACGCACGCACACAAACACACGCGCACACACACTAACACTAACATATCCACACACACACACACACACACACACATACATACATACATATACATACACACACAAACACACACACACACACACACAAATCAGTGTTATGGTGCAGAGTTTATGTTTGACATGCAATTGTGTGTGTGTGTGTGTGTGTGTGTGTGTGTGTGTGTGTGTGTGTGTGTGTGTGTGTGTGTGTGTGTGTGTGTGTGTGTGTGTGTGTGTGCGTGCGTGTGCGTGCGTGCGTGCAGGTTATGTGGTTGGAGACATTCATCATATCGCTCTGCTCATCTCAGTGAGCGTCTGTAGCTTCATCCTCACCTTCATCATCATCTTCTGTTACTTCAGGTGTGTAAGTTACAGCAGAAACACAAACACACTGCCTTTACCCATAGAAATGATTATCAGTAAAGCCTCTGTCGTTTTGTACCCACAAAGTACAACCTATCACTTAGATTGTGTTGCGTTTTCAACTCATTTGTATAAATATTAATAACTTGGATGCCATTGAAATGTTACCAGAGAATTGTTACTATATAAATGTTCCTATAGGCAGATTTTGATGTAAACTCTAAAACTCTTCAAACTGACCCTGACTGCAAACTTTGAATCCACTACATTAGTTTATTTTAATATAATTTGTCTCTCAGTGATCACCATGTACACATCAGTATTATATAGTTTTGGAGTTTTAGTGTAGATTCTGTCTCATGTTTTCTGTGCCGTGTGTGTGTGTGTACATTTCAGATATAAGCGTCATGAATTAGCACCGCGCTACAGTCTCGGTCTACATCCAGACGAAAGCTTCATTCCTGCTGGAGAATCTCTGCGGGATCTCATAGAGCAATCCCAGAGCTCCGGTTCTGGCTCAGGACTCCCTCTACTGGTGAACAACACACACTACACACACTGAAAACATCAGATACACACACATTCATTTATTGTACCCTGCAGTGTGGAGGAGTATTATAAAAATCAATTAAAATAATAAATTAAAATATTAATTAGTAATAAAAAATGTACTTCAATGTAGTCAAATCACAACATGGAGAAGTGTGTGTGACTGAAGGTGGTGGTGAATATACAGTAGTGGTGAATTCAGTTGTGAATCTTGCTTCATTCATATCTACTGTATAAGCACAGATGAGGATTGTGATGTTTCTGCTCTGACAGTCCCGTCTTCATTTCAGATGATAAGTATAAAGATATGCAAATACTCAGAAACTTCAGCTCCGACATAAAAGTTTGATTTAATTTTAAATAAATAATGTTATTATGGGAGCTTTACATTTGAATCTGCTTGTGAAAGTCTTCATACTGCAATGATTATAAGTCAAAATAAATTTGATAAAATTCATTAAAAACTGTATTTTCCAACAAACATTAAGCAATATGTTTTATGTAACATTGTACAGCAGAAGTAAGGATTGTTTTAATGTAATTCGATGCCGCACGGGAACGAAAAGAAAACTTCTATTCTTGGACAGCATAACCGTACGTTCACACCGAAAGCGGCGAGAGCGTCAAAGTAGCCGGAAGTCATTCGTTTTCAATGAGAGGCGGCAGTGATACGCGGCAAGGAGCAGCGCGGCACGTCTTCTCCGGTGTGGGCGTCGAGGAGAGTTGAAATCAAGTCAACTTTATGGTAATGAGCTATGACGCGGTTCGGCAGCAAGCAATCAGAATGAAGACGTCCACCGCTTGACAGGAGTTCAGAGAACACAGACCTGTGAACTTTGTTTCCGACCACAGTTGTTCCCAAGGGTTTGATGAATGCGGTCGCCGGATTTCCAATTATTTACAATGTTTTCCTACAGGAACATGCATTAAATAAGTTACTGGTGAGTTACTGATGTTCATTATTGTTATTTAAATGTATCTTAAAAGGCGGAAATCTCACAGGACAGTACAAAACAGTATAACGTTAGCTGCTTCAGGATATTTCAGACATATGGACACATATTGGATAAATAGAACAAAGCCACACCACGCAACTTGATCTTCCATTGTTATATGAATTTTATGCAGGATTGTAACTGATATGCTGCAACGGCTCCTTTAAATACGAGATCAATGTAGCGAGTTTTGACGCTCTCGCCGCCGGAGCTGAAAGCAGACAGCGTTGTTGCCAGGGCGGCCAGAGCGACCTTGGACGCTCTCGCCGCTTTCGTTGTGAACGTACATTAAACGTGTTTTCGGTTTATGCAAAGAGAAGTTACGTCACACTCACCCGCCCAACCGAGTGACATGCGCAACACAGATGCCAGCCTGGGTTGCCAGTTGTGTGCAAAGCACTTAATTTGCACTTCTAATCCAGTCCTGCCTCTAATTTTCAGTGCTAAATTAACCACGCTCCTTCATAACATCACTCAACTCACGGTACAACTTTTCCTATCGATGAGAAATCTTGTCGCGATTTAACCTTACGAGGTATATATATATATATATATATATATATATATATATATATATATATATATATATATATATATATATATGTTTGTTTGTATGTATGTATATATTTATTTTTTGTCATATTGGTTTTGTTTGTAAGTGTTTGAAAATGGGGAAAATTGTTAGCTAGTATACATTATTTTACTTAAAGTAGAAAATGTAAATATAATATAATATAATATAATATAATATAATATAATATATTTTTATAATATTAAAATATTTTTATTAAATAATTATTTATATAAAATTATAAATAATGTGTAAATGTGTGTGTAGGTGCAGCGCACTATAGCGAAGCAGATCCAGATGGTGACACAGATCGGGAAGGGTCGCTATGGAGAAGTGTGGATGGGAAGATGGAGAGGAGAGAAAGTAGCTGTGAAAGTGTTTTTCACCACAGAGGAGGCCAGCTGGTTCAGGGAGACCGAGATCTATCAGACCGTCCTCATGAGACATGACAATATACTGGGTGAGCATAACACACTATTACATATTTGAAGATCCAGAAAAGTTCTGTTTGTCCAGTTTTCACATTCATTCCCTTTCATAAACTTATGTCACGCTAGATAAAGAAAAAAAATAGTTTCTCTAAGAACCGTCAAATTGAAAGGCCTTATTGCAGGTTTTACCCCTGTGCCGTTGAAACAAATAATCAAACATTCATTGTTAATAAGCTTATGTTTTGTTGGCAAGACTTCAAAATTGTAACAATTTTTATTTTAAATGAAAAACTTTCCAAGTATTTTTTTCCTTGTTTTCTGCTTTTACACATTGCAGGCCAAATTAGTTAAAACACAATAATTATGTGAGTATATTGATATGAAATTTAGTTCTGTCAATGATTAATCATGATTAATTGCATCCAAAAGTTCATATTTACAAAATATATATGCGTGTACTTCTGATTTTTTTTTGTATATATATATATATATATATATAAGCATAAGAAATTGTGTATATTTAATTACATAAATATGTACATGAAAATATATTTATTTTGTATATTTTTGTATTTTATCTACAGCGTGTGTGTAATGTGCATAAATACACACAGGTATATATATATATATATATATATATATATATATATATATATATATATATATATATATATATATATAGATAGATAGATAGATAGATAGATAGATAGATAGATAGATAGATAGATATACATATCGCACTGCTACTCGTGTGATATTGCTCGTGTATATATATATATATATATATATATATATATATATATATATATATATATATATTATCAATGTCGATTTTATTTATATAGCACTATTATACACAACCAAAGGTTGACCAATGTGCTGAACAATACAAATCACAAAGAACAAGTATAACATTATAGCTAAAACAAAGAATTCTTACTGATAAAATGCCAAATCAAAAAGGTAAGTTTTCAACCTAGATTTAAAAACAGACAGAGATGATAGACCTAATACAGAGGCAGAGCATTTCCACAAGGTAGGACAAGCTACTGCGAAAGCCCAGTCACCTCTGCATTTCAGCCTCGACAATATTTTACAACACTACACAGAAAATATTAATACGTGTAATACATCTAAATAATAATACATCTGTGTTGTTTCTGATTAATGACTGATTTAGAACTGTAACGATAAAAAAACTGCTTTTTTATTGATTTACCTGCATGTCAAGGGTTTTTTAATAATTGTAATAATTATTATTGTTATATTATTATTATTATTATTAAGTGTTAAGAGAACCGAATCGGAACAAATGTGTTAATTATTAATATATTACCTTTAGGATGTACTTTAAGAAAATATTTTTTTTTTATATCAAAAGGTGTTTTACTTAATAAAGATCCTGTAAATCACCGATATAGAAAAAGATTATTGCTGCTCTCTAATGCACAATTGTTTTACATGTTTTCTTTTTTTGATGACATTAAAATTACCCAAGTATATTAGTATATATAGCTAAACTAAACCAAAAATAATGAATCTTCTGATTAGAAGACTGAAATAATGAAAAATAAATAAATAAATCTACTAAGCAAAAAGTATATGGAAAATCTGAAAATGAATTTGTGGTCATCATTATCAGGATCTTTCTGTTAAAGTACCAAAACTATTTATTAAATTAGATCAAATGTATTTTTATTTTGTTTTATTTACATTATTACATTATTTACATATACAACGTTATTAGATTTATGCACAGGGGTCAACATACTGCTATAATAATAATATTAATAATAATAATAATAATAATAATAATAATAATAATAAACTTATAAAGATAATATAAACTGTGCAGCAGTAAAAGAGACATATATGGATGAATGCAAAAAAATGCAATAATAAAAGTATGAAAACAAAATAATAATCATAATCATAAATCTAATTATCAAATAAAAGCTACCCTAAAAAGGTAGGTTTTAAGTGATGATTTAAAAATACTCAGGGATTCTGCATTGCGAATATCAGAGAGTAAAGAGTTTAGGTGCCAGTGAAGAGAATGCCCGATCTCTACTGCTGCTTTAATGCTGCTATCATTACACTGAAAATTTACTGAAGCTTATTATTATTAAAACTGCAGCTTGGCAAGCTAAAAATAAGTGCAACTTCCCTCTTGAAAAAGTAGCTATGTGCACTAATGAAACCATTTCATTTCACTGCAGCTATTAACGGGGCAGTGCCTGCGTAATTACGGTGAATAAAGAAACACTTTCTCATTACTTTTTATTGCTGGTCTTTTAAAATACAGATGGGTCAGTGCTTCACACAATAGATGATTAAATAGATAAAAACCTCCTCTGTTTTATATATATATATATATATATATATATATATATATATATATATATATATATATATATACACACACATGCATACTTTTTTTAATCTTTTAAGGAAATAATGCATACTGTCAGCTTTATTATATAGGTTGCTCAAGGTCTAAAAAAAACCTACATAAAAACCGTATTTAATGATAATTATGCATGAGAGAGCAGGGGTAATCATCTTCTAAAGCATTGATTTACACACTCTTTATTCAGTCAGAAAACACTTTACAATAAGGTTGCATTAGTTAATGGTAGTTAATGCATTTACTAACAGGAAAAATCCATGAACGACACATTTATTCCTGTATTTGTTCATGTTTGTTAACACTAGTTAATGGCAATAAAGTCATTAATTTTTACTTCATGTTAATTCACAGTGCTTTAACTAATTTTAACAAGAGTGAGTTTGGATTTGAATAATGCATTGGTAAATGTCGAGCTATGATTAATAAATTCTGTACATTAATTCTTCATTATTAGTTTCTATTAATAAATACAATAACAAATAAAACTTTATTGTAAAGTTTGACCCAAATAGTTTCTTAAAGTACTTTCTTAAATTGATATTTTAATAATTTAACAACACATTTCTGTGCACAGTTTTTTGATGTTTATGCTCAGTTGGCATGCAGGCAAACACAACATGTTGAAACACATCGGCAACATTTTACAGTATAGGTGTATTACACTGTTAGAATTTTACAGTTATTTACTGCAAAAACGGCCAGTTTTATATTTATATATATATATACATATATATGTATGTGTGTGTATATATATATATATATATATATATATAATCATACATTTGTTCTTTAATCTTTAATTTTCTATGCAAGAAAAAAGCCTAAATTTGTGATGTTCTGAGGGTCAGTAAATTAACAGCGGTTTTAATGATATCCCTGTAAAGCTAAAGCCTGGACTCGTCAGATACTCGTTTAACTAACTATTTTAGACACAATGGCCTTCTGGGAGCATGTCTGAGGGAACGCTCCAATTAATCCCGGAATTTAGTTCGTTAAAATAAAACATCCAAAATAAATCAGCCGTCTATTACTAATTTCTGCTTGGAAACATGGAGTGTGTTTGATCATTGGCCTAAATCTATGGCGTGTAAAGCGTCACACACTATACAGCATCATGGAGTATTAAAATAGGATTGAAAAACACAGTGAAGTTTGCAGCATCTCTACTGTTATTTAATTAGTGAACATGTAGTGGGTAATTATAGGAAAGATGAGCCATGCACAATTACACTGACTTGATTAGCAGTGCGTTCTCATTAATTAGCTGTTATCAGATTAATTATTAGGTGAAATGAAGCGTGGTCTTGCACTGGTTTGATGCTGTGCTGTTTAATATTTAAAGCACAGGCTTGCGGACGCTGCTTTACCTGATTATACTCTACTGATTGTCACTGTTTTAGTAATCTTTAAAAGAGTGTTTAGTTCATATTTGTCTTGTTAGTACGGTTGTTGTTTATTCCAAACTGGGAAAATACTGTAGTCCTTAAGTCATGCTACATTATATGCTTTAATGTTTATGTGTGTTTGTGCGTGTGTTTGTGCGTGTGTTTGTGTGTGTGTGTGTGTGTTTGTGTGTGTGTGTATATATATATATGTGTGTGTGTGTGTGTGTGTGTGTGTGTGTGTATATAAATAATATATATATATATATGCGTGCATGCATTTGAAGTCAAGTAAGTCTGCAGTTCCAAAATGACTAAAACCGAAGCTAAAATAATAAATAAAGAGATACATATAAGTATAAAAGACAAGAACATTTACAAAAAAAAAAAAAAAAGATTGTAACGGAGACTTTAATTATGTAATACTAAATTATATGATAGTGTTTAAATATAATGCTACATTTAATAATCAAATAAAAAAATAACATTTACAAAAAAAATAAATACTAAAATAACTGATGCATATGTGAAAAATGGATGCTACAAATTGAAGCATGACCTTCCAATTATTTAATAATCTGCAAATACACTCACCGGCCACTTTATAAGGTAGACCTTACCAGTACGGGGTTGGACCCGCTTTTACCTTAAGAACTGCCTTAATCCTTCATGGCATAGTTTTAACAAGATACTGGTAAATTCCTCTGAGATTTTGGTCCATATTGACATGATAGCATCACGCAGTTGCTGCAGATTTGTTGGCTGCACATCCATGATGCCAATCTCCCGTTCCACCACATCCCAACCATTGATACAAGGCAGGATGGATCCATGCTTTCATGTTGTTGACAACAAATTCTGAACCTACCTTGGTGGGGGCACTAAGGCACTCGGCCTGCAGCCTCGTGCCATCGCACACCTCCCACCAGTGCCATATCGCACTGCTACTCGTGTGATATTGCTTATATATATATATATATATATATATATATATATATATATATATATATATATATATATATATATATATATATATATATATATATATGTATATATATATGTATATATATATGTATATATATATATATATATATATATATGTATATATGTATGTATGTATGTATGTATGTATGTATGTATGTGTGTAAAATAATGAATATAATAAAATATAAAATGAAACATGGCTTTGCACTCATTTAATATTCTGCTGTTCTCCATAAATAAAAAGCAAAAAATGTATATAAAAATTGAATCCTAAAATAATTCTGACAGACATGTGTAATAATGAATGTAATAAGATGATGTGTGTGTTATGCAGGATTTATAGCGGCTGATATTAAAGGTACAGGCTCGTGGACGCAGCTCTACCTGATCACAGACTATCATGAGAACGGCTCTCTGTATGACTATCTGAAGTGCACCACGCTGGACAGCAGAGCCATGCTGAAACTTGCCTATTCCTCCGTCTCGGGCCTTTGCCATTTGCACACCGAGATCTTCGGCACGCAGGGAAAACCAGCCATCGCCCACCGAGATCTGAAGAGCAAAAACATCCTGGTCAAGAGAAACGGAGCTTGCTGCATCGCTGACCTCGGCCTCGCCGTCAAGTTCATCAGGTACTCAATTTTCAACTACTTATAATGAAAAATCTATTAAAATTAATAAATCAACAAAAAACTATAAATAAATAAAATAATAATTAAAGGATTGACATTTTCAGTATTCATTTAAGGGATTGCATTTTTTCCCCCAATATGGTTATCTGTCGTTGTGCAGCGACACTAATGAAGTGGACATCCCTCTGAACACTCGTGTGGGAACCAAACGCTTCATGGCTCCTGAAGTTCTGGACGAGACACTGAACAGGAACCATTTCCAGTCCTACATCATGGCAGACATGTACAGCTTTGGCCTCATCCTGTGGGAGATCAGCAGACGCTGCGTCACCGGAGGTACTGTGGGGCTGCTGAATGCTTGATTCTGATTGGCTGATAAGCATACTAGAGTGTGGTTATTCATTTTCTTCTCTCGGCTTAGTCCCTTTATTAATCTGGGGTCACCACAGCGGAATGAACCGCAAATTTATCCAGCAAATGTTTTACGCAGCGGATGCCCTTTCAGCTGCAACCCATCACTGGGAAACATCCATACACACTCAATCACAAATATACACTACGGACAATTTACCCAACTCACCTTCACCACGTGTTTGGACTGCGGGGGAAACCGGGAAACCCGCACGAACAAGGAGACAACATGCAAACTCCACACAGAAAAGCCAGCTGACCCAGCCGAGGCTCGAATCAGCAACCTTCTTGCTGTAAGGCGATCATGCTACCCACTGCGTCACTGTGCAGCCAAGTGTGGTTATATTCAGATAGAGTAAAAAAAGTAGTTCCGGCAGGTTTTGAGTGCAGTTCTTGAATGATTTCAGCTGTTTCACAAATATATATATAATTAGAAAATATATATAATTAAACTGAATGGAAAAGCAGGACAGCCGACTGCAACAAAATAAAATTAGTCCGTTTTAAACATATTTTATTTTTTGTTTATTTTACTTTAACTATTATAATTGTAAAAAATTACTAGTGTTACAACATATTTGATGTTAGTCTAGGGTAAAAGGAATAACATTTAAAAGGTGTGCAACTTTCACAATGAGAGGGTGCAAGCAAAAGACACTGACAACAACACTGCCAACAAAAGTGATTTAATGTACAGAAAGTGAAACCAGAATAATGCCCAAATATATGTGCAAAAAGAAGAAATATTTGCAGTAATAAAAGCAAATTCAAGCAAAATTAGGTCAACTTAAGAGTAAGGGGAGGATATTAAAGCCAAATGAAAGACAGAAATATAACAAAACAATTCTAACTCATGAATAACCCCTTTCCTTGCTAGGAAAAGAAGAAAAGAAAAGATCTTCAGCGCCGTATTCTTCCCTATACTGAATAAAATACCTGAATAAAAAACAATACAAAGATGCCGCTGACCTCTTACCTGATGTCTTTAACAATACTTTTTATATGTGTTTTCAAAATGGAAGTCCTACAACATCTTCCCTATCCACCTTACCCTGAGAAAAGAGTGAACTTATGGGCCAAAAAGTAACAAACAAATCAGTCGAAATAAAGACATACAAAAATCACAAAGTATCTCAAAATACTTTTGCAAGTATACAGTATTTGCAATAGTAATACAAAATAGTATTACCCAAACGAAAGTTAAGCAAAAAACGAAAACAAAAAAACGAGATCAAAGGAAAAAGCGCTCCCTCCACTTTTGATGGCATAATTTTTATTTGCCCGAGCCACATCGCCCAATGATGATGGACTGGCCTCCTGACCAATCAGCTGTTGGAAGGCGGGTCTAAAAGAAATGACAGGCTTGGAGAAAGCGAGAGAGAAAATATTTAAATATTAAATAATAATAATTAAAAACATTTAATAATATTCACATACTTTGCTAAATTGCGAATTGTTTTTAAAAAATGTTTAAAGGGTAACCTATTATGGAAAATCACTTTTATAAGGTGTTTAAATACAGTTGTGTAGCAAAAGTCTGTGAAAATTCAGTGCATCGGAAAGAGTTCATAACACTTCACTTTGTCCACAGATTCTTATGTTACAGCCTTATTCCAAAACGGATTAAATTAATTTATTTCCTCAAAATTCTACACTCCATACCCCATAATGACAATGTGAAAATAAAAAACCTGAAAAATCACATGTACAAAAGTAAGACATAAAAATGATAGAAAAAGTGAAGCGCTATGAATACTTTCCTAATGCACTGTAACCAGCTTCTAATGGTACAAATTAATTAATTCTGTTTTTATAATCACACTTGCTAAAAAAAGTCTGCAGAAACACTTTGATTGACGTTCTTTCTTTATAAGTGTCATCATAGAGGAGGATAGCCCCACCCATTAGTGACAATCTCTCCCTCATTAGCATAGACAGCCCTGAGTAAGAAGCAGCCATACATAATGTCTGTGACTTGGGCCGCATTTCCACTGCACTGTTCTCAATTCCGATTTTGTTCTCCCATGTGGCACAGATCGGATATGGCCCATGTACATGTAAGCAGGAACAAATCACATGGATTCCCATTTACTCAAATCAGATTCACGCGCCATTAAAAACCATAGCGAATGACGTCAAGTCTAACACTTTCTTTTCAGAACAGACTTCAGCAGAGTCCCAAACCTTAAATCCCATACACGAGGACTTAAACAGCTTTCATATGGTCATATAGCACAGGAATTAAAGCATGTTAAGGAGAGCAAGAGAGCCAAGTGTTCGACACGTAACCAATAAAAATTAATATGAAACAAGTGCATAGCTACATCACATGCATAAATCACGCCATGGACATTACATTAAAGGTTAAAAAAGCCTATATATTAAAAGAAGATGGACAAATGAAAACCTTTCTGTCATAAACTAGAGTAAAACAGCTTGTCAAAAGCTGCGAACAGATTAAATACAGGAATAGAGAAAAGAGCAATCTTTAACTATCAGCTGTTAGTCAGCGCCCGCTCTTTTTTTTTTCTGGTCATTGCGCCTTTGCCGTATGCTGTGTAAATGCAGACGATTGCAAACGAGTCGCTTTTAAAGATGATGTAAGCAGGTCATCAAAAAATCGGACACAGTCACTTAATCGGATTGACCATCAAGATTTGCAGTGTAAACGCAGCCTAACGCCTGTTTCACACCGCAAGCGTGAGTGGCGCGTGAGCAGAGCGTCAGAAGACAATCGCCTGTGATATCTTGTCATTTGTTTTTTGATAATCAGGTTGCTGTAGACCTAGTTATAATAATATTTATACAATATAGTTAAAATGATATTTATACATGATCAAACTAGTGTTACTTTCTCCGCTTCAGTGATGTCCAGCGGCAGAATAACAGCTCGTTAATTCATGCTCGTGCAGATGATGAGACGGACAAAAGTAACCAATGCATGCCATTCTTTTACTTATTCACAGTGCAAACAGCTCCTTGTAGGAATAACTCAAGTGAACATAAAACAAAGCCGATTAACTTTCTTGCTCTGCTCAGCTGCACAGAACACTAGCGTGCAACTTAAGCAAAACTGATACTAAAATTGTTTTACATTTGGTTTTGTAGTTTGTGCCTAAATAAATGTTTGTTGCCGTTTTTAATCGTTTTAAGTTCATTTGATTGACTATATATAAACCATTTGACATTATTAACGCATTTGTTGGGTAAAATTGCTACTTTTTACTGTTCATTCAATGTGTTTGGTCATTATCAATGTACTGTCACTTTAAATGAGCGTGTGCAGCGCGTCAAAAATAGACCCGGCGCCGAAACTATCGCTGCACTGCTGCTTTGCTGACGCTCACGCCTCGCTCTGAAGCGCTGCTGCTGCGTGCTGTATGAAAGCTCTAATCTGTTAACATGGACGCCGAAAACACACGCGCCGCTGATGCTTGCGGTGTGAAACAGGCGTAAGAGCAATTTTAAATGTGGTTTTAGGATGCCAAAAACACCAAAAAACACAATTAGGATCAAAACCTAAAGGAGTCAGTTTCAAAGAGTTATAAAACATTATCAGTGTGGTATTTTGAACTGAATCTTTACATACACACTCTAAGATTATCAGAAACTGATTTTACATCTTGTAAAAAGCAGCATAATAGGTCCCCTTAAGTTTTACATAATTTGACATGTAGGAGAATTTGTCTGAAGTGAGATGTTGTGTGTTGTTTGTGCAGGTATAGTAGAGGAGTATCAGCTGCCGTATCATGATCATGTTCCCAATGACCCGTCATATGAAGACATGAGAGAGGTGGTCTGCATCAAGAGGATACGACCCTCCTTCCCCAACCGCTGGAGCAGTGATGAGGTACGTTTTAGCTAACTACAAAAAAAATAATTATATCTATATACAGTTAGAATTATCAGCCCCCCTGTTTATTTTTTCCCCAATTTCTGTTTAACGGAGAGAAGATTTTCTAAACACATTTCTAAACATAATAGTTTTAATAACTCATTTCTAATAACTGGTTTATTTTATTTTTGCCGTGATGACAGTAAATAATATTTTACTAGATATTTTCCAAGACACTGCTATACAGCTTAAAGGGTCACGAAACACCAAAACACATTTTTTGAGCTGTTGACAGTCGTATATGTGTCCCACACTGCTAAAAACACTATTAGGACACCTATATTTCACTAAAAAGTGTAAATTGGTTGTTTTTGCGTTATTTCAAGCAAATTTGTACTTCCTGTTTGAAACGAATTTTTGAAGCTGCGTCACGGTCATGACATAATAGCGTGTATTCCAGCGTGCAGACTGGACGTCTGTGCCAGAGTGAGTCTTATTACGTCTTACAGTGTGATGCATTAATGCATGAGTAAGGCTTGGTTCAAACCAATCAGCGCGCTCTATTGTGCAACTTCATTAATATTCATTACTGTCACAGTGTTTACACCACAAAGACGCCACGTTGTGTTGGCAAAACAAGCGTGGAGTGTTGCTTTTATAGTTTGCTGCAGTTAAGTTTCGTTTTCATTTTCTCTCTGTGAGAGCTCAGCTGGATCACGTGTGGATTAACAGTGTACGCGACACGCGACAACAATAACTTACGTGTCTAAGGAGGATTATTGTTTACCTGAGAGCTGTTCTCATCTGCAAACGCTGAAATCTGGATTCGCTTGTAGTATTCTCTCCATAAAGACGCGGCTCTAGTTGCTAGGGATTGTCCTGTCTCTACAGATTTGGTAAGTGAGCGACCAGTGCTCTTTGTTTATTCAGTTTGTTCGTATCGAATTAAGTTAACTATTGCACTGAGTGCAGAAATGTTAGCACCGCATTATGTGACCGGAATAACACACGCGGCTTTCTGACGCTACCTGCCGTGTGCATCTAAGTTTACGGGAAATGCAGAGTTTTTTTTCTCTCATTCGCCGTGCGGTATCAAACATTGCATAAAAAATACACGCTTAGAGCAGATCCTCGAATCAAATATCTCGTTTGTCGCGAGGGGCATGAATGACTTCCCTGAATGAAAGAGCCAAACTGCAGTTAAAGTCCAACATTTAATAATTTGGCAAATAATTCGACTACAGATGTCCATGTAGGTTAAACACCATCACTTCCTCTTGTGTGTATTTGAAGGAACTGGCGCGTGCCCAAATAGACACTCCTACACCCTCCCACTTTAGTTCCTCCGACACTCCCCCCTAAACAGAGCTGGACACGCCCACTTTTCTGACTTTTTCCAAAGTAGAGGTGTGAAAACACCCTGCTGAAACGAGGGGGTTTCAAGGCCCTTTAAAGTGACATTTAAAGGCTTTACTAGGTTAATTAGGTTAACTAGAGAGGATAGGGTAAATAGGCAAGTTATTGTATAACGATGGTTTGTTCTGTAGACTATCAAAACAAATAGAGCCTAATGGGGCTAATAAATTTGTCCTTAAAGTTGAGTTTAAAATTTAATAACTGCTTTTATTCTAGCCAAAATAAAACAAAAAAGACTTTCTCCATCAGAAAAAATATTATCACCCATACTGTGAAAATGTCCTTGCTCTGTTAAACATAATTTGGAAAATATATATAAAAAAATAATAATAAATAAATTAAAGGGGGCTTATAATTCTGACTTATACTGTATATAAACCACAAAGCCATTTTCAATATTCAATATTATTAGCCCCTTTAAGCAATATTATTTTCGATTGATGTTACGCCCCATGAAAGGCAAGACTGCACACACAATGCTGCTTAAGAAATATATATAAAGATTTTATTTTTACAATGATTTTCTTAAACAAAATTTGTCCCTTTTTTAACTTCAGGAGCTGACCAGGCCAAAATAATAAACAAAACCCCTCTAATTTCCCTATTTTTAGCAAAAGGAAATAAAATAAAATACACTTTCTTACCTAACTCCCTTGTCCACGAAAACAATCAATAAAAGAAGGTACAAAAGAAAATGGCATCAAGCTCCCTACTTACTATGTACAAATATTTACAATCAGCGAACAAATCCAAAAAGGGTAAAACAGCAGAGTAGTCAGTTAACAGGCAGAGGTCAGATTTACAATGTCAACAAAACAAGATCTAATGCATTAAATACTTTCACAGATTCCCTTCAGATACAATCATAAACAACAATTCAATTAATCTCACTAACACACACACACACACACACAATTTCTTTCACACCACTACCAACCACAAGTGAGCTCAAACAGCTAAACAGGAAGTAACAAAGGAAGAATTTAAAGGGAGCCTGTAGTCTGTTCTTTATACCTCGCTTAAATAATCTAAGATGTTTTGGCAGATCCTGGATCTAATAATCTTAATAACTGATCTCTGGCTAATTTGGTTCTTTAAACAAGTTGGTGAATCAGGTTAAAATGTCTGGATGAACTGGTCTAAGATCAATGTTTGTGTTGTGAAGGACAGATCTATCAATCCCTGAAATCATGATCAGGAATGCAACGGTTGGCTGATGGTGCAGTAGCGTAATGACATCATCTGATTAATATTCAATTATCCATGTGAGCAAAATTACATCAAATTAGCAGTAAACGGTTTGTTAAATATGACACGCTAGAACTTTCCACATTTTTTGTGAGCTGCAGGTTTTACACTTCCATGTGTCACGAGTATTCATCATGTATTTCAATGCTAATCAATGTATTTAGTTCTACATTTAGAGAAGATTTTCTTTATTATAGTGGCCTGGGCCTACTCAACTTTTTTTTTAATCGGTGTAAGGAATAACTGTATAAATTAATTTTGCATCAAAAAAGCATTTTGGTATCGGTAAAGATGTCTGTAACTTCTGCGAAGAATCAAATCACTGGCATATTAGCGATCAAAACACTTGCATGACTGCCTAATTTATCCTTTTTTAGAATAAAGTTGAATATTGTGCTTGTACGCATTTGTATCTAAAAAGTTCATATCAATAATTGGTCCTACTTTATATTGTCGCTTATACCTGTGAACTTACATGGTAGCTAGATGTGTATGTAGTATGTAACTACAGTGTATGTACACACTGTTACATAGTATTTACTTATATATCCACACAATATAAAGTGTAAAATGGTCACAAATTGCTGTGTAATACTTAACACCCGAGCCTTTGTGCAACTATTTAACAACAGCAAACTTCTGCCAAAAATGTATAAGTGTATATAGAAATATACAAATGCCTTATATTTTGTTTTAAGGTAAATTGTAGAATCACATCAGTAATTTACATTAAAAGGGTAGTTTACCAAAGATTGTGTTATTAATGTCCTGTTACACATTTGATCTTATACAGAGTGTGTTACATGTGTGTAGTTAAACTAGTAATACAAAAGTAAATACTATGTACCAGTGTGTACATACACTGTAACTACATACTACTTACACAGTTAGTTACCGTATAAGTTCACAGGTATAAGCGACACAATATTAAGTGGAACCCAATTATTTTTCTCTTTGAACCACAAGGGGGCAGTCTTTGTGCTTTTATTTTGGAGTGCAGATTGCATAAGTTTTATTAATAACTATTTTTTAACTTTATGTAACTTTTTATATATCTTTATAAAATATATGTACTATTTTCCCAAGTGTATACAACTACAGTAAGAAATTATCAGCATTTGGTACATCCTTTCAGTATTATCTTTGCTTGAACTGAACCAATCTAATCCTGTTTATATGAAATGATCCGGCAGGTTTGCCGAGCAGGTTTGAGCTACCAGAACTGTTGCTATGACAACAAGTCTCAGATGAGTTTTGAAGAACTATACGATTACAAAAGTAATCCACTAGGATTTTGGATAAGGGATTGGATCAAATCTTGAAAATGGGTTTTTCAAAAGAAAAAAACGGATTACCTAATCGGATTAGATCACGTAATCCAATCTTGGTTTTGATCCCGATCAAACCTTTAGTTTGGGTTTTTCAGACCTTTTTTCTAGGATTTGGATCACTTTGATCCAAAAAACCTGGATTAAACTGATCCCATCAGAAGGGTGGATTTAGCGTGGATTTCTTGCCCAAAATGTAATGAAATCTTTAAAAATTTATTAAATAATACTATCTTTATATCATGCAGTATCTTACGAGATATATTATTTATTCATAAAAAGGTTTTAATTTTATTTGTTCATCTGTCAGGCTACAGTGATTATAGGCTTTAACGTATTCAGCCTTTCAGTATAGGCCTAGTAGAAAGTAGGAGTTTGGCCTCATAAAACAATCCCCCAAACAGCTGCCAAAATTGACCAAAAACAACACATTTTACTCTCTCAATAATTGATTTATTTATATATATTTATTACAATGATAATTATTTTTTTTTATAATATTTATTAGTGATGCATGCAATGATTAAAGATTAACCAAAAAAAATGCAAAGAATGGCAATCACTGATTTTCGAAATCACTTTTAACAATTGCAAAAAGAGACTGAAAGGGCAGAAGCACAGCTTCATCTGGCAGAGGAACAACTGACTCTGACTAAACTGCAGCAAACAAAGGCCAGACTTGAGATCCGCCTCCTAAAGGATACACTCAGACAAGCTGCTCTCTCCACATCAGATGAGGAAGTCTGAAATTATTGTGGAGTTTTTGACATCAAGTCTTTTTTTATTTACATCTATATTTGAAACTTATTATAAATATCCTCAATGTACAGTTGTGTTGTAGGTCTCAGATGAGCGGACTGCTGAAAGAGGATGTGGTGGGGTTTTTCTTGTTTTTAGTTTTTTTTTAGTTTTTTTTTTTAAATGTGTGTGTTTTCATTTCACATAAAAAAATAAAGTTATATTGACCCCACACTGGCTATTCTACTTGTTGCTCTTTACAGGCCTGTCTATCTATCTATCTATCTATCTATCTATCTATCTATCTATCTATCTATCCATCCATCCATCCATCCATCCATCCATCCATCCATCCATCCATCCATCCATCCATCCATCCATCCATCCATCCATCCATCCATCCATCCATCCATCCATCCATCCATCCATCCTTTTTTCTTTCTTTCTTTCTTTCTTTCTTTCTTTCTTTCTTTCTTTCTTTCTTTCTTTCTTTCTTTCTTTCTTTCTTTCTTTCTTTCTTTCTTTCTTTCTTTCTTTCTTTCTTTCTTTCTTTCTTTCTTTCTTTCTTTCTTTCTTTCTTTCTCTACATACTGATTGAGCACTGGTAATCCAGATTTAGTGATGCTGAAAGTTCCCATCCGGGTCAGATTGATCCAATCCGATGTTGCTTTAAAAAACTGGCTAGAAAAGTAAACTGGATTACGTGATCACGGACCGCAAAAACAGGATTACTAAATCTGGCTCAATTTTATCCAGATTAAACCTTTTGAAAAATCGAGCCCAGGAGTCAGTTGATTAGGCAGGTTGTGGCATCAATTGGAGCAGGGGCAGGACCAAACAAAAGAGCAAGCAGAGAGAACAAATACACAGAATTAATACATAAAGGGACATAACAATAGTCTAGAGAGCAAACTATCATTGTACAATGACTTGCCTAATTACCCTAACTTGCCTTATTAACCTAGTTAAGCTGAGTACTAGTATCTTAAAAAATATCTAGTACAATATTATTTACTGTCATCATGGCAAAGATAAAAGAAATCAGTTATTAAGGATGAGTTATTAAAACTATTATGTTATAAAAAATGATAATTCTTTTTGTTGTTTTTTAATGCACAACTTAATGTAGTAGTAAAATTTTAAAGTGGATATATTTCTTAAATAAATTAAACTATAAATATTTAGGGACGTATTTATTATGTTAAAAATAAACATTTAAATTAATAACAATAATTGTATTCATTACACATTTTGTTTTTTGGACAACTTTTGTGCAAACTTTTGATCCACTTCAAATGTTAAATATATATTCAAAATAAAAATGCAAAAAAAAAAAAAAAACTATTTAAAAACAAATAAATAATGGACAAAAAATAAAAAGTCATCTACAGAATGATGCTAAAACAACACTGATTGAAATATATTTAATATTTTGTGTTTAACCCTGTGTGTGCATGTATGTGTCCAGTGTCTCCGACAGATGGGGAAGCTCATGACAGAGTGTTGGGCTCATAATCCGGCCTCTCGTCTCACAGCCCTCCGCGTTAAAAAGACTCTGGCCAAGATGTCTGAATCCCAGGACATTAAAGTCTGAGAGCAATTCTCCACCCAAACCCTGAACTCACAGCAACACTCACACACTTGCTGGAAAATGCCACAGATCTCCTTCAGTGAGCAGATCTCAGCGCGGGACGTCCTGATCAAAGATATCCAGCCGTGAGGATGAGCTTGCGGGACGCTAAAAGTGGTAACACAGCAGGAGAAGTTGACGCAGAACTCAAGTTTTTCTGTATTTGAAAATGATTTTGTTGAATCGTGTCAGATTTCAGAGAACAATGGTTGACGTTCAAGTCATAGGAGCTGCGGTTTTCCCTCCTTTTTTATTTTTTTGGTGGGCTGTGCCTTATTTATTGTGTAAATATAGATGAAGTTTTGAGAGCTGCATTATTGTGCTTAAATAAATGTTGTAAAAACACTGAACATTCTGTTCTGCAATGTTGTTGTTTGACTGTTTTTTCTTACAATTCTGACTTTTACATCTCACATTTCTGTTCTTTTGTTTTATCATACCTCTGCAGTTCTGACTTTCAAATATTTCTGAGTTTCATTTATTACAGTTTTGTCTCTCACAATTTTTCTTTTGTGTTGCAATTCTGATCTCAAAATTTAGAACTTACATCCCACAATTCTGTTTGTCTAATTTCTGTCTTTATATATTTACTTCTGAGTGTCTCTCACTGATACATCTCGGATATTTCTCACAATTCTGACCTTTATATCTCACAATTCTGACCTTTATTTCTCACAATTCTGACCTTTATTTCTCACAATTCTGACCTTTATTTCTCACAATTCTGACCTTTATTTCTCACAATTCTGACCTTTATTTCTCACAATTCTGACCTTTATTTCTCACAATTCTGACCTTTATTTCTCTCAATTCTGACCTTTATTTCTCTTAATTCTGACCTTCATTTTTTCTCAATTCTGACTTTTATATCTTACAATTTTCACCTTTATTTCTCACAATTCTGATCATTATTTCTCACTATTTTGACCTTTTTTTCCTAACTGATCTCACATATATCTTTAATTCTATCTCTAACTGCTATGTCTCATAAACTCTGACTTTTAAATTTTACATTTCTGTCTTTCATATAACTATTCTGAATAATATATTCATATATGATGCATATATTTATATATAAATGCAAAATTTAACACACTAGCATATGGAAATCTAAAAAACATAAACCTTTCTAATCTTGTGAAGCATTTATTAAAGGTGAACATTTAGTAATGCATCATTACAATCCAAAGTTTTGTTGGTTAACTTTACTGAATGTATCGTGAGTTAACATTATAAAACTAAACATTAAAAATAAAATACTGTAATGTATTACTAATTGTCCATATTAGTAAATGCATGACGTATTGAAGTGATTAATAGACCATTATCTTAAAGTGTTACCCAGAAAAATTCATAAACCCCTTTTCATACCTTTTGTTAAAAAAAAAGTGTGACCTTTCATGTCAAACATATTCAAAATAAATAAGATGAAAAAGAAAAAAAAAACACGCATACACAAGGCCACTTTCATCATTGATTAAAAATATAATTTATTTAAAAAATCCTTTACATACATTTTTATACAGAAACTGGCTGCGGACATAGCGTTTTTCTGATGTGTGTGTGTTTGAAAAGAAGCTTCGTTGTGTGTATGTTCAGTTGTCTGTGTACTGAAGCGATGCACATTTATCAGCGATTCAGTTCTGGTTCTGTACAGAAGCAAACGTTGCATAGTTGGCACAGCTTTACAAACAAACACAAACACTCTCTCTCGCTTTCTCCTTCATTTGGCTTTTATTTTCCTCGAGAGGTGGTGGATTGTGGGAAATGGCAGCTGGTGAAACGCTTTAACATGTTTTCATAACTCAGACAGACGGATGGCAGGTAATGAGCTCAGTGTTGGACTTTTTCACTTTTCTGCATAAAGCGCTTGCATAGACCAGCATGACTGTAAACACACCACACACGAATCATTTCATTCCTTTTAATAAACGTCTCATTGTATGAAAACCCCTTTTTTGACACATAAGAAATTAAATATTTCAGACTTCTTAAACAACTGCCTTTTTTTTAGTGATGAATATGATTCTGAATTGATTATGATAGCAAAACAAAATCAAGCAAGTTATAATGCTGTAATCTCACATTTCATTATTTTCCCAAAATTACCGTTTTTTCCATGTAATTTGGAAAAAATTACAGGCATAAAATATAATAATATCATAACTAGATGAAAACGTTGCATTTCTTCATTTAATTTCAATTGTACATTTAATGTTTTGTCAAAAATGCTACGTTTTTGACCTAGTTGTGATTTATCGTTTTGATGCAACAAATGAAATGAAACTATTATTATCTAATTACTAATAATGGTAAATAATTACATTCTCACATCAAAAGTATAATGGATGGATGGAAGGATGGATAGATAGATAGATAGATAGATAGATAGATAGATAGATAGATAGATAGATAGATAGATAGATAGATAGATAGATAGATGGATAGATTGATAGATAGATAGATAGATAGATAGATAGATAGATAGATAGATAGATAGATAAAAGGTTGAAATTGTTTGTGGTGATGTTAAAAAAAAACATGAAACAGCTATATGAAAATATTTCTTACGAATGACAAAAAACAAAACCCTGACATGTCAAAACTGAATGTCATATATTTCTTGTCTTAATTTATAAGTAGATGAAGACAAAAAGTCCAAGCTGTCATAATTAACAGAAATGAATGAATAGTTATTTAATAATAATAATAATTCCTTATATTTATAAAGTGCTTTTGTGGACACTCAATGCATTTTACACAATGGGGAGAATCTTCTCATCCACCACCAGTGTGTAGCATCCATCTGGATATTGCTCCAGACCACACACCAGCTGATTGGTGGAGAGGAGACGGAGTGATGAAGCCAATTATGATGGTTAGGAGACGATGATGAACAGAGGCCAGAATGCCAGGGTTAAACCACCATCTTTTCGAAGGACATTTTGGGATTTTTAACGACCAGTTTACCCACAGGGGACCTTGGGATGCCTTATCTGATGTCGTATAGAGTCCCAATCAATATACTGGGGCGTAAGGACCCACGCGGACCGCAGGTTGGGCACCCCCTTCTGGCCTCACTAACACCACTTCCGGCAGCAACCTAGCTTTCTCATGTGATCTACCATCCAGGTACTGGCCGAGCGCAGCCCTGCTTAGCTTCAGTGGGCGACCATGTGAGAGTTGCAGAGAGCAACAGTTTTACAGTTAAAATTATGGAAGAAAAAAAAATGACATGACGTGCACAAAAAAAATTTAAGCTAATAAATAAAATAAAAAAATAAAAATAAAAAAATCTCAAAAAAGTAATTATTATTATAACAGTATATTGAAATTACTCAAATCTAAATGATGAGACACAGTCAATCATGATAAAATTGAAATTATGACACTGGATATAGCAGAGTTTTGATAAAAAAAATCATAAAACTCTTTAAATTGACACCAATATCTTGTGTCACGATACTGGAATTCGATACCAATCAATACTGACATTTTTAATTAATTAATATTTGAGCGCTGTTAAGCACATTCTTAAAGGGTCACGAAACACCAAAACACATTTTTTGAGCTGTTGACAGTCGTATATGTGTCCCACACTGCTAAAAACACTATTAGGACACCTATATTTCACTAAAAAGTGTAAATTGGTTGTTTTTGCGTTATTTCAAGCAAATTCGTACTTCCTGTTTGAAACGAATTTTTGAAGCTGCGTCACGGTCATGACATAATAGCGTTGTATTCCAGCGTGCAGACTGGACGTCTGTGCCAGAGTGTGTCTTATTACGTCTTACAGTGTGATACATTAATGCATGAGTAAGGCTTGGTTCAAACCAATCAGCGCGCTCTATTGTGCAACTTCATTAATATTCATTACTGTCACAGTGTTTACACGACAAAGACGCCACGTTGTGTTGGCAAAACAAGCGTGGAGTGTTGCTTTTATAGTTTGCTGCAGTTAAGTTTCGTTTTCATTTTCTCTCTGTGAGAGCTCAGCTGGATCACGTGTGGATTAACAGTGTACGCGACAACAATAACTTACGTGTCTTAGGAGGAACATTGTTTACCTGAGAGCTGTTCTCATCTGCAAACGCTGAAATCCGGATTCGCTTGTAACGTTAGTCTCCTCTTCATAAAGACGCGGCTCTAGTTGCTGGTGATTGTTCTGTCTCTACAGATTTGGTAAGTGAGCGACCAGTGTTTATCTTTGTTTATTCAGTTTGTTCGTATCGAATTAAGTTAACTATTGCACTGAGTGCAAACATAGCACTGCATTTAGTGACCGGAATAACACACGCGGCTTTCTGATGCTACCTGCCGAGTGCATCTAAGTTTCCGGGAAATGCAGAGTTTTTTTTTTCTCTCATTCGCCGTGCGGTATCAAACATTGCATGAAAAATACACGCTTAGAGCAGTTCCTCGAATCAAATATCTCGTGTGTCGCGAAGGGCATGAATGAATTCCCTGAATGAAAGAGCCAAACTGCAGTTAAAGTCCACCATTTAATAATTTGGCAAATAATTCGACTACAGATGTCCATGTAGGTTAAACACCATCACTTTCTCATGTGTGTGTATTTTGACTGAAACTCGCGCGTGCCCAAATAGACACTCCCACACCCTCCCACTTTAGTTTCTCCGACACTCCCCCCTAAACAGAGCTGGACACGCCCACTTTTCTGACTTTTTCCAAAGTAGAGGTGTGAAAACACACTGCTGAAATGAGGGGGTTTCATGGCCCTTTAAAGGTAAGGTATGTAAGTTTGATACCCAGTGGTTTGTACTGGGTATTGCACTCCTTGTTCAAAACACATGCAAGCACAGGTTGCCAGATTGACAACATCAACAGCAGTGTGCCAGACTATTGTTAAATTACATCCCTTACCATTTCTCTGGAGTGCAGTGAGTGCACAGTATTCTGTGCTTCTGAATGGCTGTTTACATTTCTGTCATGTTTGTCTTGTGCAAACAGCCAAATTGCTCATCACTGCAAATCTTGCCACGTAGTGTGTTGATAGGACACGGGGTTTGAATGTAACCTGCTCAGATAATGTTTATTTTCATAATATTTATATTATCTGCTCATGTGGAATTTGAATTTGCGTGTCATTTCGGAGTCTGCTACTGTCCATCAGAGGTCACATTTTGGTCACGGACGCATGCTCTGAGAGGCTTCCTGACCGAATGAATCAAAAATACTCTGTTTTCCACCAAGGCAACCTGAGGTGCTGAATGATAATTGGCTAAAGTGGCAGTGGGCAGGTTAAAGGGAACAAAACAGAAGAGCCGACACGTAACTCACATTTTCAAAGCAAAATATCTGACTCCAGCATTGTTTTTCAGATAAACAAGAATGTTCACTTAGCATGTTTCTGAAATATCTGCAAACACATTATGGTCTTTCATGCTTTAGAACAGTCAAAAACTTACATACAGCACCATTAAACAGCTAATTTGCCGTTATGTTCACTTGCTCAACAGAAATGACACAGAAAACACTGGAGTGCTTAAAAGCCGTGATGATCAATGTATTCATCAGCAGATCGCTGGTATGTCAGCATATGTTTTCGGCTTTAAAACGCTCCAGTGTCTCTGTATCCAGAGGCGGACTGGCCATCTGGCAGACCGGGCAGTTTCCCGCTGGGCCGATGTACTTTTTGGGCCGGGCTGATAATCTTCTCATAATCTTGATCGGCCCATAAAACACTCAGCAGACTGTTGTGTTTTTCTGCCTTATTTATTGACAAAATGCCAGGGCTCATCTGTGGTTACACTCACAGTCACGGCCATCACAGTCATTTCTGTTGAGAATATGAACACCACGGCAAATCAGCGCTGTTTAAGAACACACTCAACAGCGCTCAAATGTTGGCGGGAAATGGATGTTTTTAAAATATCAGCAGAGATTAGTCTCGAACTCCAGTATCGTGACAATGATCATAATTGTGTTCAAAAACAATTTAACTATGAGATCATGTCAGCTTTGAACATTTTTAACTCATGCTGCGTTCACACCAGACGCGGCAAGCGCGAGTGATTTACATGTTAAGTCAATGTAAACGCGCGAATAGACATCCTGCGGCGCGATACGCGCGAATGGCGCGAATGACGAGAATTGTGCGGTGCGCATGGCGCGAACGTCATGTCGCAAATTGATCGTTTGACGCGCTTAATGCTCGTTTCGTGCGAATCACTCGCGTTCGAAAATCTGAACTTCAGCGGACATTCGCGCCGCGTTAACCAATCAGGAGCTTGCTCTTGTGGGGGCGTGATAGTGACGTATCGCCTGTTGTCGATGTGCCAGGGGAAATCCCCCAGCAGACACCGACAAGAAGTTCATCAAACTGGGCTGGGCTCAGTCAGAAGCACCGCTGAAAACCTCCATAAGCCAGGTTCAGTTTCTGGAGGAGTCTATGAGCTTAAAGAGCTGGATGCACCTCTGAAAGGATGTAGTGGACTCAGACATGGCTCTAAAAGTATCGACGCTGTTTTTCAGCCTTTATAAAGCACATAAACACTGTTATTTTCTTCATAAAATCCATGTTAGCCCTTTAGCTATGAAGCTAGAGTCACGGGGCAGACAGAAGCCCTGCCCATCACGCGAATTCGCGTCTGTTCTGAAGTGAATTTGACACGCGAATGAAGCGGATTTGATGAGCGAATGAAGCAGATTTGATGCGCGAATGAAGCGGATTTGACGCGCGAATGAAGCGAGTAATCTCAAATGTTCACGTGACTATTTACGCGCGAATATCGTGATTTATCTGCACGTTCCGCGTCTGGTGTGAACACAGCATCACAGCTACTGATCATTTATGATAAAAAAAAAATGTCAAGAATTTTCTGACAAAATGCCAATATTACAATAAAAATGTATAAAAGGTGAAGAAACAAGATACTACAGTAAGTCGATAATGGAGCAAAAGCTATTAGACTATTACGAAAAAAGACTATTACGACTGAATAAAATCTAATTAACATATTAAAAAATGTATATGACCAAAAAAAAGAAAGAAAAATAATTTGTAATACTATGATGTGCAAAGTATTTTTTGCCTCCAACACATTTACACGTTTAAGGAAAAAGTGTGATTTTTTTCCTCCCTTATGTGTCAGAAAAGGTCTTCGTAGCATTGAAAATGATTCACAAGTCAAAAAGTAATTATGTGTGTGGAAAAAGAGCAATCCTCTGAAACACGTTCTTCTCTCTCACATCACCAAACCGCCGTTCCCTGCACCTCTTTTAAAAATCATGTGTATTTAAATATGACATCTTTCATTTGCTTTCATTCTGACATTGCTGAAGCCGAGAGTATTTCTGAGATCTGAGTTGTAGTTGAAGTGTTTGTGTGAACTGATGAAACAGGAAGGATCTTTCGTTTTTGCCAGATAAGGGTGTGTTCATGAGAACAGCAAAACTAATATCGCATTTAACCTACACCTCTTCCAGGAGTTTCTGTCCTAGCCACACTGAAAAAAGAAAGATTCATTTAATTTACTATGTTTTTGAGGTTAGTGGTTGCAAACAATATACACTACCTGGCTAAAGTCTTGTGGCCTATTCAAGTTTTAGAAAACACAAAAAATAACTGAACTACTAGTTGATCATTTGGTATCAGAAGTGGCTCATATGAAAGATTACACTTGTTTTACCTAAATAAAATGATCGTGGCTTGCTTTTGAATTAATTAGGACAGTAAGGTCTGACTTTGCTTAGACAAAAGTCTTGTCATTTAACAGAAATAATGTCCAGTATAGAATATAAAGTCCTGCTGCAGAGGAAACAGAATGAATATTGTGTCTGACTCCATCATGAGCTTGGAGGACTGCATCCATACATCTCTGCAATGACTCAAATCACTAATTAATAAAGTCATCTGGAATGGAAAACAAAGCGTTCCTGCAGGACTCCCAGAGTTCATCAAGACTCTTTGGAATCATCCTTAATGCCTCCTTCATCTTACCTCAGACATGCTCAATAATGTTTATGTCTGGTGACTGGCCAGGCCAAATGATCGACTACAATTCAAGTTATTATTTGTTGCTCTTACAACTGGGATCGAAGACTTTTGTCAGTTAGTGTATATGGACTATTTAAACAATGATGTTCGAATTAACTTGTTTAAATTCAGCCCAAATAAATTGTTTGCAACTACATACCATAAAAAAATTAGTAAATCCAATAAACAATTTGTTTTGTTTTTCTTGACTAAGGGGACGTTTTCTATTTCTGTCTTTAATCACTCATCTTTATATAAAACATAATACATGCGTCATACAGGTGGAGGCTGCACACTGGTGGTAGATGAGGAGACCCCCCCCCCTTATTGTGTAAAGCACTTTGAGTTTCTACAAAAGCGCTATATAAATGTAAGGAATTATTATTATTATTATATGTTCTGACTGGCTGTGGTTGTTTCATATTGTACTGTATGTTTGTTTGATTTTTTACTTTAAGTGTGGCAAACAAATGGCTTGTTGCTGGACACCGCTTGCAAAAGTCGTTTATTAAGTTCTGCCAAAACTGCAGCTGCTATTTTTCAATTTAAAATGTATTTAAAATGTTTTATATATATATATATATATATATATATATATATATATATATATATATATATATATTACCGTGCTGCCGTTGACTTGTGTAAAAATAAACTATAAATATTGTGACCAAATTATTTACTATCAAATACAAGTACCACCAGGCTCAGAACCGCTGTTTTTTGCTAGGTTTGGTTCTTCACTTTTTAAATTTATTTTAGTGTTTATAGACTTTTATTTTGTTATTAAATGAACTGAGTCAACACTCAACTGATTGAGCTCACTGCGATATAGTCTGCGTTATATGATAATAATAATACATTTTCCTTCTCATTCTGCATTATTTAATGAGCTGCTTTCCGTTTAATATTGTGAAGCTGTTTCGAAATGTAATTATTGTTTTATAAGCTTGGTGACAAAGAAAAAGGTCCTAGTGATTGGAAAAGAACAACAGACTTTGAAATTAAGCATTTTAGTAGTTACAATAACTACAGTTGTTATCAAATTTGGCAGAAACCATAGCCATCATGGTACTATTTCCAGCACAGGCTCATTCTGAAGACATACCCATATATACATTTCTTGAGACCCCAAATTATGTAGCCACAGGAATGTATGGCTGCATTTCATATTTGAAATGAACGCTCTAGGGTGGTAAGACACCATTTATTTTTGCTACCAGCTGACAGATTACCTTCATGTAGATGGCTTTTCCGCTGTTACCAGTTTATCAGTTTACAATGGTAATAATGTACATCGGATGATTTTTGACGCAGAGCGAAGTCGACCGCGATGACAGGGCTCGAGTCAAGTGAAGAACGGTTCCAGAAAGCAGGTAAGACAAAAACAAATGACATAAAATAAAACAAACAAGTAAATAACAGGGTGAGAATGTGGTAAAATCTGAAAATGTGGTAAAAACCAGGCGAGGGCTTTCCTTTGTCTGGATTGCTTTTGAAAACACTATCGGTTGGGTTTAGGGCAGGGGGTTATCAGGTCAAATGGTGTATTTTAAAAACACTACCGGTTGAGTTTAGGGAAGGGGGTGATCGAGTCAATTGGTGTGTTTTAAAACACTATCGGTTGGGTTTAGGTAAGAGGGATATCGGGTCAATTGGTGTGTTTTGAAAACACTATCTGTTGGGTTTAGGGAAGGGGGTGATCAGGTCAATTGGTGTATTTTAAAAACACTATCGGTTGGGTTTAGGTAAGGGGGTGATCGGGTCAATCAGTGTGTCTTGAAAACACTATCGGTTGGGTTTAGGGAAGGGGGTGATCGGGTCAATCGGCGTATTTTGAATACACTATCGGTTGGGTTTAGGTAAGGGGGTGATCGGGTCAATCGGTGTGTCTTGAAAACACTATCGGTTGGGTTTAGGGAAGGGGGTGATCGGGTCAAACGGCGTATTTTGAAAACACTATCGGTTGGGTTTAGGTAAGGGGGATATCAGGTCAATCGGTGTGTCTTGAAAACACTATCGGTTGGGTTTAGGGAAGGGGGTGATCGGGTCAATTGGTGTATTTTAAAAACACTATCGGTTGGATTTAGAGGTAGAGGAGGGTGGGTCAGTCAGTTGACAGTGACCTTTGGTGGATTTACATAAAAATAGCAGGCGCAAATGGCACTTGTGAGGGAAATTTGAGATCTGAAAAACACAAACTGGAAAAAAAGTAGTTCCTGGGACATATTTGGCACTCTCCAGAAATGTATAAAGGGGTACGCAATCAGAATGAGCCTGAGTTTGTTTTCATAAGGGATGAATGTACTCTTTTTACTACAGTGCATATAGTCGAGTGAAACCCACAAATGTTACTATGAAATACTGATGCACAACCCATGCAGAATGTGTGTGAATTCATCAGATGCAGCAAAAGTCCGCTCAACTCTTCCGGGCCAGTAAAAAGATCATTACAGTGTGACGTAACATCGCATTCCAAAAAAAAAATCAAATAACAAAACCATTACTTTTCAAATCCCTGGCAAGTGCTCATGTGCACTTTTTGTTCAACAAAGCAACAGATATTTACGTCTTCGAATAGCTGCGTTACAAAAATAATACAATTCAAATAATCGGATCAGAACATTAACTGGATTTTTCAAGGCCACTTTAAGGTACTCCGTAGACACACTAAATACTGTATTCATGTCTCAAAATATTATACTACATGAGCGTTCGTTTATTTTTTTCCGCAACCACTAGATGGCACCACAAAATTCGGTAAAAACGATCACTAAAGGAGACGAGATGTTTTTTTTTCGGCATTTTTCGTTGCGCAAACACACATGGGGACTTGACTGCGCGTGCAAACTAGTTTTTTTTGGGATTTTGGTTGTCTAGTACGAGCCTGAAAAGTCTTGACCCTGTTCGTAGTTCACCTTTGACCACAGATTGGTTTATGTGGACACCGTTTCCAGGCGCTTCACGATGCTGAAACCTCAAAATGCTGTTGACTTTGCCTTGGGTTTGATGGCGGATTGGGCTCGGTATAGTACATGAAGCAGTGTTTTGGTCACTGCTCTTTGGCCATGGTGCTAATGCTGTGGTCGTGTCGGCCCATCTCCTCCAGGACAGTGGCGAGCTGGTTCAGGTTTCCGTGTGGAAAATGTTGAGCCTCCCACAGGTCCAGAATCACACCGGTCGGACTCGTCTTAGTTGCAAAATAGTTCAGATACCTGTAGAGCAAAGGGGAAGGAGACACTAAGAAGTGTGCATGGTATGTCACAATATTTATCTGTGGTATGGACCCAGTGTTAACATGCATTTTGAAGGATCACATGAGAAACGCGTTATGGAAACACTAAGATATGAATAAAATCCTTTAATATGCCTTTAAGGCAGGGTTTTTTTAACTCGGTCTTTGCATTCAGGTATCCTGCAGATTTTAGCTCCATTTGCCTCAACAAACCTGCAAGGATGTTTCTAGAAAACCCAGTAAAACCGGGGTCACACTGCACTCTTCTCCCCATAGACTTCCATTCATATGCACACAAATGCATCATACTGGAATAGCAAGCTTGTGCAACAAGCTGTATACAAGCTGGGTTTCAAGATGATACTCTCACCTGCAAAATCGCATCACATGACTGCATGAGACCAATCGAAGATCGAAACATGACCTCTCTGGACAGAAATTTTAAATATGGACCAAACACTTTTTAAAAAATGTCTAATCATCTTGTTTATTTCCGCCCCTTTTCGCAGCACTGTACAACCGAATTTTGCATGCTCAAACTCCAGTGTGACCGCAGCATAAGAGCATGATTCACTAGCCCAGGTGTTTCTGATTAGGGTTGGAGCTAAAATCTGCAGGACATCCAAGACCGAGATTGAGAACCGCTGCTTTAAGGTCAACAGTTATCAGATGAATTGTTTGTTGGTTTACATCACGATCATTTAATGGAAATTTTGCAAATTTTCCAGATTCCCTTACAATGCACACTGGGGAAGAAAATAACAGCTGAGACTGTAATATCTACATGTACCATCAAGTCTGAAATTATTGATGCCGCTGGCAAATTCAGACTTAAAGTTATTCAACTATTTTTTTTTATACCAGAAATTACATCTCCTAAAAGATATTAAGACTATGTACAAGAGGCATCAAAAATGAATAAAAATGTTCACTGTAAAAAAAAAAAGAAAAGTTTCAATGAACTTAATTGTTTTTACAAATTTAAGTGGATTGAACACAGAACAATTGTCTAAAAAAACTCAAGAATTGTGTTTATTCAGCACAAATTAAATAAGTAGTTTGAGCAGGCAGCAAAAATCATTTTGAGTGCTTGAACAAAAACTTAAAGTCTTACTAAACTGAACTGAAATAATTTCTACCAAAGGTATGAAGAATTTTAGGCTTGACTGTATATTAGGGTGCTTTCACACCTGTAGATCCATTGTTTTGTTCCAAAACAGGAGTTAAAACTGTTACAATGTTGCTCTTTGTTGTTGTTGCGGTTCACTTTCACACGGGAAAGACTGTAAACAGACCAAAAGAGCTAAAACAAGTCACGTGAACTCTCCTCACATTGGTCAGAGTTTCAGGGTTTATTTTCCGTTGGGGCTCAGCTGTCATGTGTCTTTATTTTACTTTATGACAATGAGCAATAAGACATTAAAAGTGGAAAGCTGTGCTTTAATTTTGAATGGTGACACCTATCGCTTTTAGTTTGCTTGCTACATTTCCCAGAGAGTAGCTTTTAGTGTAGTTGAGCTAAATTTTAAGTAGAGTAGCTAATAGCTTAGCTGACTAAATTTTTTAAGTAGCTTGCCCAACGCTGTTGGCAAGTATTCTTGATACTAGTATCAGTATCAGTATCGGATTAACCATATTAGGATTAACAGTCATCTGATCAAATGCTTGTTGATTTAAATGATGACAAATCAAGGGAATTTGCGGAAATTGACTCCAATGATCTTTATATATTACAACCAAAGGATGAGGGACAGAGATCTCCATCAGACAGTCCTGCAGAAAGTGTCTCTATCAAAGCAGAACTCTGGAGAGCTCCTCTTTCACTTTCAACATCTTATTTTTGTTCTTCATCTCTGTCCCCGGTGAGCTCCTCAAGGTGAGCATACTGCTCTCCAAACTAAAGTCTAGAGCGTTTGAAAGCTGATCTCTGGTTTTTCAGGCGTCCTGCAGGAAAAGGCTGAAACCATAGGGGTCCTGCGCTGCTTCTGTCTGCTCCTCTAATTGGCTGAATGATAGAAACGCGGCTCATTGAAGAGTCGATGTCAGCGCGAGTGAGTGTAACTCTTCAGATTCTCCAGGCGGAACGGGAGGAAATTTCTCTTCTGCTCTCCTGCTGTTAATGTTCCTCAAACGCTCCTCTGAGAGACTTTTACTGCAGCTTCCTTTGTCTTTCAGCACTTTTAAAATAAAAAAAACTACTCTGCGGTCTCTGCACACTGATGAAGAAACAAACGCTGAAAGGACAAGTGCTAAAAATATTTTCATTTATTTTAGGAGAAGCATAATCCTTGTAGATTTAGAGGAGAATACGGTTGATACTGTGTTACACATCACTTGGGAAATATTTTATCTTACTTAAAAAATACAAGATTTTTAGTGAGGTATACTTCTCTAAAAGTCGAAAATGATTAAGTTTGGCATATTTTTTTGTACTTTAACCATATTACTTTTAGCCATTAGTCATTTTTGTCATTTAGTCAATATTCTGAATTATCTTAGTCAATATTGTTATTATTATTATTTTTATTGGCTACAAAACAAACCACTGTTGTCTGATGACTTGCCTAGTTAACCTAATTAATCTAGTTAATTAAACCTTAAAACATTGCACAATATAACTAGTAAAATATTATGTACTGTCATCAAGACAACATGGGTGAAGCAGTGGCGCAGTAGGTAGTGCTGTCGCCTCACAGCAAGAAGGTCGCTGGTTCGAGCCTTTGCTCAGTTGGCGTTTCTGTGTGGAGTTTGCATGTTCTCTCTGCATTCGTGTGGGTTTCCTCCGGGCAGGGCCGGAATGGGACTCCTTTTCAGCTCTGGAGTTTCAAGCCTTAGACCAGCCCACCTCAGTTCATGACTGACTATATTAAAATATCATCACTTCCAATTCAGTTTCTTATGACACCATCACATCTTTTTCAAGGACACAGCTGCTTTAGAACTTCAAATGTTTTCACAAATATGACAACAGTAATTCTTTATAGATATCCAGTCCTTTGTAATGGTCATAAAAGAAAAAAATAAAATATGTACACCTATATAATTAACCCAAATAGTATTATATGTCTTAACACTAAAAATGAAAAAAAAAAAAAAAAACTTTGACTCTGGTAAGGTTCGAACCCGAGTCAGTGGCGTTGTTTTGCAACATGCTAACCGCTAGACCACAATGGCACTGTAAGGATAATGTGGTAATAAAGTATAAGTATTGCACTGTTATCTGCTGCTATTGATGTCTACTCTTTTTTTTTTTTTTTACCGTTTTTAGATTTCTGATCAAGTTATGTCAGATTTATTAATGTAGTGAATCATCTGGTTTTCATTGAGCAGGTGTAATATTCATTAATATTAATTAATATTCACTAAGGTGCAGCTGTTTGGGGTGGAATGAGTTAACGTTACATCATCATTAACCTGCGGGCTGCATTCTGCTCTTGAGGCTGCGAGAAAATAGATAACAAGAGCGGAGCTGCGTCAAAATAATGAATAAAAAGAGTGAAGCTATGGTTAAAAAAAACAAATAAATGAAAAAAATGCGACTGCTGAGAGTGCAAGCAGCTAGGGACACCGGCCCTCGCGGCCAAAAAACGGACCGGCCCACTGGGAATTCTCCCGGTCCTCCCGATTAGCCAATCCGGGCCTGCCTCCGGGTGCTCCGGTTTCCCCCACAGTCCAAAGACGTGGTACAGGTGAATTGGGTAGGCTAAATTGTCCGTAGTGTATGAGTGTGTGTGTGAATGTGTGTGTGAACGTTTCTCAGAGAGTCCCTTAGTCATCAGGGGTCGCCATTCATTCGAACCACCAACTATTCCAGCATATGCTTTACACAGCAACCCAGTACTGAGAAACACTCACACACTCTCACATACACAATTTAGTTTATTCAATTCACCTATAGCGCATGTGTTTGGACTTGTGGGGGAAACCGGAGCACCCGCAGGAAAACCAACACCAACATGGGGAGAACATGCAAACTCCACACAGAAATGCCTACTGACCCAGCCGGGACTCGAACCAGTGACCTTCTTGTTGTGAGGTGACAGTACTAACCACTGAGCCACCATGTCACCCTTATATCTAATATTTGAAAAATAAATAATAAAAAGTACTAAAAAGTACTATTAACTAAAAGTTAATAATTGTAAATCTATATATATATATTTAATATAACAAACAAAAATGCAGTTTTCATGATCTGCAGATGATGATGACCAAAAGTTATGGAATTCAAGTTGATTGGACAAACTGTTTTTGTTTAACTTGTGAACAAATTTAATAAAGAGTTTGGGAAAATGGACTTGAGGCAATTTCTCTATAAGGCATTGACGTATTTACACCAATCCTGGTGTGTGTTATGACTTCCATGGTCTGAGGTTATCTCCGTACTGGTCCAAAGATACAAAAAAATGGCTTCTCAACCCTTTGTCTTAATCTCATAAAACTGGTCTCTTTGCATCCAGCAGAGCACGCCGAGTTGATTGAAGTCTGATTTACCCAGGTCAGCCATTATCCTCTTTCACACAGTGATAGCGGTAATTATCCGTAAATTTCTGGAACGACTTTCGTTGTTACGTTTCGAACGCGTTCTTTCCTGCAATTTTCCTTCTGCGTTCACAGACCTTTTTTAACCTCTTTTCTAGAACATTTTAACTTCTCTTTTCCAGAACGAATTTACAGGAATTTACAAAAAGCGACTGTTGGAGAGGGGTCTGGATGCAGATCTGGTGCAGTGCAATCTGAGCTGCATCCAATGCTTTTTGATGGGCTCACCTAACCTCACCCCTAACACTGACGTCACTCGCTCCATTTGAGTGCATTGTGTCAGACATTGCATCACTGAGTGATAAAGGCTGCATCCAGATACTATTGGCATGTTCACACATGATCCCTTTCTGGAAAATTGCTGGAAATTTTCTGGAAAGGGATGTGCATAAAAGTGGTTAATATGGCTACCGACCATTTAGATTCTTCTTTAAAATTGCTATTTTTCAGGACTCATGTTGTTTAGCTGATTGTTGTGAAACTCAATATGTGTATTCAGTGTTGTGCCCTAAAGGTGCTCAAAAAGTTAAACAATAATATTTGTAAAAATGCTAATAACTTTTGCTAATCTCTCCTACTTGTCATTAAACTTGTCTAGTTATATTCCTTGGATCATGTCGAGACCAATAATACTAAATAAGCCAAAATCAACTAAACTTAGCTGTCTGTACCGGCCGGTATAAAGTGACATCATTGAGTTTTCAGCACATCTGTTCATTAATTCATGAATAAGACCTAATTCCAACCAATCAGTACACTCTATTGTGTATGAGGTGCAACTTCATTAATATGCATGATATAGCTTTGAAGACGCCACGTTGTGTTGCCAACCGTAATTAAAACAAGTGGAAGAAGAACTGTTTGGAGATATGGTTCATGAGTGTTGTGTTTATAAATGTGCTGCAACAAAGGTTTTGTTTTCATTTTCCCGCAATGAGAGCACTGCTGCATGTGGACAAGTGTGGATTACAGTGCTCTGCTAACATGCGACAGAAATATGTTTGTAAGGAGAATTTTTTACCCGAGAGCTTTTCGCATCTGGAAATGGTGAAATCCGGATTTGCTGCTCGTCTCCTTTTAATAAAGACGCAGCTCCAGTTGGTGTTGATTGTCCTGTCTCTACAGATTTGGTAAGTGTGTGATCAGTGTTCTTTGTTTATGTTTCTCTAGATGGCAAAGTTAGTTCATATCGTCAGCAGTTAAAAAATATCTTGAAAAATATCTACACTGTAAAAAATGTCTGTGATTTTAACGGTAAAGACTGTAAAAATTCTACAGTAAAAATCCGTAACCTGGTTAACAGTATGTTTCCTTAATATATATGGCGAATAACCATAAACTGACTTTCCCAGAATTCCCTGTATGGCACGTCAATTTTTATGCTTTTTGTTGACATTAATATGGATCCTTTTAGTTGTTTCCCCATCAGTTATCTACATTAGAGATTTATGTTACATCTGATGTTGATAAACAATGTTTATTTCATGACTTTAATGTTATGCACGTTACCATACTGGTGTTTAGTAGCTGTGTGAATGACCCTGAGCACTTTCTATACACCGATGCTTGTGGGAAAAGTTGTTTGTTATAATAAAGCTTTGAAAACGCCACGTTGTGTTGCCAACCGTAATTAAAACAAGTAGAAGAAGAACTGTTTGGAGACCCACACGTTAGGCCCACACATCTGCGCGCGCAGAATTCCGCAGATTTTCCGCAGATTTTTAGCCCATTATTAATTCTGTTTATTTACTTGAGTAAATGTGTACATCTGAATTTATTCAGTTTTTATTCAGTAATTTATTACTTTTTATTTAATATATTAAGGTTTTAGTTATGATACTCCGCTGGATACTCCCAAAATAATTCCGCAGAAATCCGCAGATTTTTACCAAAATTCTCCGCAGAAATAGCAAAAAACGTCCGCAGATTTCGTCTGGCCCTGGACATGGGTCATCAGTGTTGTGTTTATAAATGTGCTGCAACAAAGGTTTTGTTTTCATTCTCCCGCAATGAGAGCACTGCTGCATGTGGACGTGTGGATTACAGTGGTCTGCTAACATGCGACAGAAATACGTTTGTAAGGAACTTTTTTTTTTACCAGAAAAGTTGTTTGATGAGCATTGGTTCATTATGTAACTTTCTCATCACCACCTGCATATGGCTGTGTTAACGTGTCTATCTTTGTAACAAAAGATGTGTAGGTGTTGGTAGTTCAAAATACAGACATATTACATCTATAAATTAATGAAATACGGTAGTTTACTGTAAAAATTAGAAATTACTTTTACGGTTTGTACAGTATTTTTAACAGTAAAATATTGGCAACCACAGCTGCAGGTTTTTTACCATAAATATTACGGATTTATTTTTTACTGTGTAGTCAAATATTATTTACTGTCATCATGGCAAGGACATTATTAGAAATGAGTAATGAAAACTATTATGTTTAGAAATGTGTCTCTGTTAAACAGAAATTGGGGAAAATATATACAGAGGGGCTGATAATTCAACTGTATATTTGCTATTTATTCATTTATTTTTTGTAGTTCAGTGTATGTGAAGTGCCATTTTGCACTGCAACAACAATTCACAATACTACTGTGTGTTTGATCAAACGAGACCTCTTAAGAAGAAAATCAGCATGTGCAATGACCTGTCGAGCTGTAGTTTGTGAGCCAGTTTCCTCCAGTCGTTTCCGCGTGTGTGTGGTGCGTCCAGACTGCTGCACAGTTTGTTTCTGATGCTCACTGGGATCCTGAAGGCGCTCGGACCCGACAGAACCGTGATGCTGCTGCCGGGATCCATCAGTGATGTGTCGATGCTTTGGACATCCTGTACAACACACACACATATATACAGTCAGAATTATTACACCCCCTTTTCATTTTTTTTCTTTTTTTAAATATTTCCCTAATGATGTTTAACAGGGCAAGGACATTTTCACGGTATGTCTGATAATATTTTTTCTTCTTGAGAAAGTCTTATTTCAACTAGAATAAAAGCAGTTTTTCATTTTAAAAAAATCATTTTCAGGTCAAAATTATCAGCCCCTTTAAGCTATATATTTTTTCCGATAGTCTACAGAACAAACCATTAAAATAACTTGCCTAATTACCCTTACCTGTCTAGTTAACCTAATTAACCTAGTGAAGCCTTTAAATGCCACTTTAAGCTGTATAGAAGTATCTTGAAAAATATCTAGTCAAATGTTATTTACTGTTATCATGGCAAAGATAAAATAAATCAGTTATTAGAGATGAGTTATTACAACTATTATGATCTGAAATGTGTTGAAAAACATCAGCTCTCCATTAAACAGAAATTGGGAAAAAATAAAAGGGGGGCTAATTATTCAGGGGGGCTAATAATCCTGACTTCAACTGTATGTTGGATTTTCATGTTTTATGGGGTCTTCTAATAGACTTAATAATGTTTGTACTGTACATTGTCAACTTTCACCAACTCTACCCCTAAACCAAACCCTTACAGAAAAGCACTTTTACACTTTCAGAAATCTTCATTCTGGATGCCTAATGAGCCATTTTCCTTAAGGGACCAAACAATTTTCCCACAAGGTCAAAAATGACAGGTATTGCAATACTTGTGGTGACATTTGGTCTTAACAATGTGATGAAAACCAGGTCATACACGATGAATACACATCTTAAAAAATCGAGGATATTTGAGATGTTCTCACATGCCAAAATGTATTTTTTGTAATGACACAAGGAGAAAGTCCTGGACTACTGAAACCTATTTAATACTATATATAAAGGGCTTTTTGGTGATGGCAGCTTAAAGACGCCTCTCATATAGAGAATGTGGTGAGTTTCTCACAGACTTCAACAGAGTGTAAAATCCATACCTGTCAACATTGCGATGTGAAATAATGAATTCCCCCGACCCTCCTAAATTACAAAATTAAAAAATCCCTAAATTACTAAATATGCTCATTTGGAGCTGTTTCATTGTAAATAAACAGTTAAATGGTCAGTAATATGTTTATTATTTTTTTTTATTTATTTATTTTTATTTAGTCATTTAGCAGACGCTTTTATCCAAAGCGACTTACAAATGAGGACAAGGAAGCAATTTACACAACTAAGAGCAACAATGAATAAGTACTAAAGGCAAGTTTCAGGTCTGTAAAGTCTAAGAAGGGAAGTATTAGTAGTTTTTTTTTTTTTTTTTTTTTATTTACAACAAAAAAATAGTATACATCAGCAGCAAATAAAGTAGCAAACAGTTCAGCTTATTAAAATTTATAGCTATTATAATGAAATAAAATAAAATCTCATTAGCCGTTTCTTCACTGCATAACGTACACATTCTGATTAAAGAGCAAACAATAAATGATTTATTGAGATTTTTTTTCGTTTGATTACATTAAATAACATTATAATGAAAACATTCGACCACTTTACTAACTGTTTATGCTCATTTAGGACGAAATTAATTGTTTGAAAAATAGAAATCTCACAACATCAACATCTTTAGATATGATTATTATTAATTGTGTGTATATGTCTGTTCAAACACGCACCCAAAAGCCAGACTTTCACTCCGCTTCCACACGAGTACAGAATCCGTTTGGAAAACAGCGTCTGTTTATCACTATGGAGCCCGTCGGCTGACAGTCATGCACCATTATATGACTGTTTTCAGGATTGCATATGATCGGGAGACGACACTTGTAATGAAAAGGAAGGGAATTGCTCCGTTTTTATATTTATTTCAAAGTGTTTTCGTGCCTAAACAAAGCGAAAGCACAGAACAGTCACATTTAAGAGCGAGGGGCGGCCCCTAGTGGTTCGGCGGTATGAGTTGCGTATAGGGAGGCTCGGCTCTTTAATGTTTCTTTCCACCCCTTAGAGAAAGACTGAAAATACGGGAGAAATATGGGAAAATACCTTTACGGGATCATTGCGGGATAGAACTATAAAATACGGGAGAATCCCAGGAAAAACGGGAGGGTTTATTTGGTATTTTCTGTTGGTTTCAAGTTAGGTGAGCAGCTTGATTTTCTTTTTCTGAAAGCATTTGAGAGTCTTCTTGGCTGTGGTTTGGGTCTTTGTCTTGCTGAAATGTCCAACCTGATTTCACCTTCATCCTCCTGCTAATGTAGATGTTGAATTGAAGCAGCTGATTCTCATTTACACATGAAGGGCAGAGGGTTGCTGAAGAACTACTGAGAGATTGCAGCTGCTTTCTGGGCTTACACTGCCTTTCTACACCTCCCTTTCTTCATGTGTTCATTACTTTTCCCTGTGTCATTTCATTTTATTACACATAATTTCATTTGTAAACTAATTTGTTTTGTTTTCTTTGCATATTTGGCTTTCTTTGGTTGTTACCAACATCTTGGTGATATTTCATGTCAACAGCACCCATAGAAATATGTTTTCTGGGAAAAATGGTGGTTCAATATTTATTATCCCCACTGTATTTGCATTCTGTGTTCACACCTTCAGAGCAGTTTTATGTTAGATTTAGGGTTTGAGTTTTTGTTATAACAACAAGAAGTTGAATTGTACCACATTCGTTACATTTACATGCGCCCAAGTAATCCATTTGCAATTAGATTCAAAATCGTTTATGTAAACATCCTAATTGATCAGGGGTGCGTTTCTGAAAACCAGTCGCCTCACAGCAAGAAGGTCGCTGGTTCATGTCCCGGCTTGGCCAGTTGGCATTTCTGTGTGGAGTTTGCATGTTCTCCCTGTGTTGGTGTAGGTTTCCTCCGGCTGCTCCGGTTTCCCCCACAGTCCAAATACATGCGCTGTAGGAGAATTGAATGAACTAAGTGTGTGTGAATGAGTGTGTATAGGTGTTTCCGAGCACTGGGTTGCAGCTGGAAGGGCATTCACTGTGTAAAACATGCTGGATAAGTTGGCAGTTCATTGCGCTGTGGCGACCGCTGATGAATAAAGGGAGCCGAAGGACATGAATGTATGCATAATAATAACCAGCTAAACTTTGCGAATCTGTTTTTCTTTTATTTTATTTTAATTTTTTCTTGACGCGTGAAAGACTTTGGTCAATGATGGCTATTTTAAAATGTGCTATTTAAATAAATGAATAAATAATAATAATAATAAAAGATTTCTTCTTCTGTCTTGGTAACTGAACTGAGTGCAGAAATCTGCTGCTCTTCTGCTATTTTTAAATGAGCTTCACTGCTGGAGACAGACTTCACTCCTCAGAAACAACATTCACTGACATTTCGCAGGCATTGAACTCCTGCATTGTGTGCGTCTGCATGAGTGTGTGCGCGTGTGGGTGTGTGTGAACTTTAATTAAATGAGACTCGTTCCTGATATTATTCATAAAAGCAACAGCATTGAATTTATGTTTCAGCTTTTCTGCTTCTATCAGGATGAACGTTGAGGATGTGAAACAAAGACAGTCGATCTTGCATCTGACAAAAAATGTAAACACATTCGCATCATTGTCAGCAAAGATAAACAGGTGTAAAATTTGTTTGAGATTCAAGTCTAGCAAAGGATTTTAAGCTTTATGAAGAAGCGTGTTTCATAAATGGGCTAAAACAGCAAGGGTTTATATGTTATACACTGTAAAAAAGTGTTGGGGGTAATGCATTACAAGCAACACGAGTTACATAATAATATTCAGGGTTTATAAATATTTTTACTACTAAAATTCCATGACTTTTCCAAGACTTTAACAAAACTTTCAAGTACATTTTCATGACCTAATGTTTCATGTCTACATTCATTCATTAATTTTCTTGTCGGCTTAGTCCCTTTATTAATCTGGGGTTAATAAATAATAATGTCGGTTCATTCCGCCACAGCGAAATGAACCGCCAACTCATCCAGCAAGTTTTTATGCAGCAGATGCAACCCATCTCTGGCAAACATCTACACACACACTCATACACTACGGACAATTTAGCCAACCCAATTCACCTGTACTGCATGTCTTTGGACTGTGGGGAAAACCAGAACACCCGGAGGAAACCCACGCGAACGCAGGGGGAACATGCAAACTCCACACAGAAACGCCAACTGAGCCGAGGCTCGAACCAGCGACCTTCTTGCTGTGAGACGACACCACCACCTACTGCGCCACTGCTTCGCCCATGTAATATCTACATATACATGGTAAATAATAAGAAAAACAACAACGTTCTATGATATGCTGTACAACAATGTTGTACAGGCAACAATCTATTGTGCTTAAATTAGTTTTATAGCTGTAAAATAGATTTTAATAATGCCTACACACATAACAATGTGAGAACAAGTGAATAGTCAAGGACAGAAAAGAAGTAAAGACAACTAACCTATATTCAAGTTAGGGCTGCAAAATATATCATTTCAGCATCGATATCGCAGTGTGTGCATCCGCATTAGTCACATCGCAGGATATGCAATGTTGGGATTATAGTTTAATATAGAGTTTAATCTTAATGGAGTAAAAGTTTATCATCTGCATGCATTTTTAAAGAGATAGTTCACCCAGAAATTATTTACCATTTTCATTACACCCTTCACTTGTTTCAACTAGTTTTCTTTTTATTAAATGAACACAAAGAGAGTATATTTAATAACTCCTATAGAATTGAAACAAGTGAAGTGTGAGTAAAAAGTGAGGACATTTTAATCTTTGAGTGAACTGTCCCTTTAAGGCCTGTGACTGTGTGAAAATTTCAATATTTCAGAGTTTAAAACATCCGGACACAAGAAATGTTTTGTAGCGTTAATAAAGATTAAATAATATACAATGAAGACTCTGCAGTATTGATTATTCAATATCTGTACTACAATGGTTAATACCTGAAAACTTTTATTCACTCTTGTCTTTACTATATTTTATTTATCTATGCTTGTCATTTATTTGTTATATATTATTGGGGATTCACTCCTCTACAAAATCCCCCCAAACAATCCAAATAAACCTGTTAAATCATCTGGTGAAATTGTATTCACATCGCAATATACATCACAAAAAGACAAAATACTGTAATGTCAGACTTTTCCAATATCACGCAGCCCTAACGCCCTATTCACAAGGGGCTTCAGCGTCAACGCTTGACTGAAGGCGTGTCGGAAGTTGGGGCTGAAGCGATCACCATTGCAGCGTCAGCCAATGAAATTCACTGTCTAGCTGGTGTATTAGCATACAGTGATCTGATTGGCTGACGCTTCCATCGGCACTTGAAAAGTTGAGCTAGTCCCAAATTCTACAGCAAGCAACGCCTCTGAAGCAGCACCGACGGATCTACAATGCAGTTCGGCAACGCCTGACGTCACCCATTCAAAGTGAATGGGAAGCGTGCGTAATTCAAGAATACAGATAAAAGAAATGTCCATGACTTTTCCAAAACTTTGTGGTTTTTTTTTTTTTTTGTGCTTTTCCGGTCCTGGAAAATGCCATGTCAAAATTCCATGACTTTTCCAGGTTTTCCATGACCATTTGAACCATGAATATCACTTTTCTAAGTAACGAGTAAAATAACGCATCAATTTTTAAAAATAAGTAAAAATATTTGAGTTACTTTTCTAAAAAGGCAATGCAGGTAACTTTTTAGTTTAATTAATTAGCTTTTGTAAAATAAGTTACAGAGTTAAAATGAAAGTAGTCACAATGAGTCATGCATCAATGAGAGAAAGGAAAAAAAGTAGGGGGTTGTCTGAACACACAGTAATATTGAATAATAGTACAAAAGTAGCAAACATATTGCTTTAGACTCTCACTAATCTGTACACAGTGGTCCCTCGTAATTTGGGGGAGTTACGCTCTATGAATAGCCCACAATAGGTGAAATCCACAAAGTAGTCCGCTTTATTTTTAACAATTATTATAGATGTTTTAAGGCTGTAACCCCCCTCACTAAACACTTTATACACTTTTCTCAAACAGGCATTAACATTTTCACACTTTTCTCTATAACCCTCAGGGGTCTGAAAGGATTTTAGGGCCCCTGAAATGTTTTGACATGTCTTGACATTTGTGCTTATTTCAGTTACTTATTACATCGTATTGGCAAACATGTATTTTATGTATTCAGAACAAACAGTGCTACAATAATATATGAGAAATATTGATGTACATGCTTGCGTTTTGTTTTTAGGATAAAAAAGTATTATGCCTGATTAGTAAGTTTTGTAGAAAATACATTTAGCTGAAATAGGGTCCAGTCTTGTAGGCTAGAATATTTACTTGCTGTTTGTTTTCTGTTGCAACTTTCCCCAACACTGGGAAAAACTATCCATAAATTAGCAGTTTTCTGTATTTTGTGATTGGTGTTTTAATATTTTATTTTTCCCGTTTATTTATGCTTTTAAATTGCATTATGAGACCTTGATCTTTCTTCTAAAAACTTTTAACATCGAAAGAATCTAAAGCAAAGTGACTTTTAGGAACATCTTTAATAGTTTAAAGTGATATATTGTCTGGGTTGTTGTTCCCTTGTAGTTAACTGCAGTACATTTTCTGTTATTTTACAGATTTATTTCTCTGTATAATATTTCTTATGCATTACACTATAGCAAACTGTCAAAAAAAGTCACTTTGTTAAGCTGTAGAGTTTAATTTTCAACATCAAAAGTAACCAGAGCAGAGATCGACATCCCATAATGCCATGCACAACCATAAACAATCAGAAAACACTTGTGAATCATGAAATACGGAAACTCTCCATTAACAGATAATTCTTACAGTGTAGTGTAGTTGGTAAAGTGTTGCACAAATCTAACTTCTTGTGTAAGTTCTGAAGACAGAATTCATCTGTAATGTTAATGAATCTGTGCTGTTCTTAATTACACACACTGATTAAAGTGCGGAGCGGAGAGAAGGACACTGAAAAGTCTGTGTGATGTGTAGACAGATGAGTGCTGAGCTTCAGACGGATTAAACACAAACCACTGCTGCTCCAGAGACTCAAACGCACAGTCTGAAGAGCGGAGATGAGTGAGCTGCTATAAGGTAAACAGCCACCGGTAAAATGTCAATCCTGTAAAACCATGCAACACAGTCTGAAAAATAAAGTATTAATACTTGCATTAATTGGGAAAGCTAATAGTTAGTTTTTTTCCATTTCTTAAAAAAGCAGAGGTAGTGACTCAAGAAATAAATAATCCTAATAATTGCTGGATGGATGGATGAATGGATGGATGGATAAATGGATGGGTGGATGGATGAATAGATGTACACATGGATGGCTAGATGTATAGATGGATAAATAGATGGATGGATGGATTGATAGAATGAATGTATTCATGTATGTATGTATGGATGGATGTATGTATGGATGTATGTATGTATGTATGTATGGATGAATAAATTGTTGGATACATTATTGGATGAATGGATGAATAGATTGACACATGGATGGCTAGATGTATAGATGGATGGATTGATAGAATTTATGTATGGATGGATGGATGGATGGATGGATGGATGGATGGATGGATGGATGGATGGATGGATGGATGGATGGATGGATGGATGGATGGATGGATGGATGGATGGATGGATGGATGGATGGATGGATGGATGGATGGATGGATAGATAGATAGATAGATAGATAGATAGATAGATAGATAGATAGATAGATAGATAGATAGATAGATAGATAGATAGATAGATAGATAGATAGATAGATAGATAGATAGATAGATAGATAGATAGATAGATAGACACATGGATGGCTAGATGGATAGATGGATGGATGGATAGATTGATAGAATGAATGTATGGATAAATGGATGGATGGATGGATGGATGGATGATAGATAAATGGATGGATACATTATTGGATGGATGGATGGATGGATGGATGGATGGATGGATGGATGGATGGATGGATGGATGGATGGATGGATGGATGGATGGATGGATGGATGGATGGATGGATGGATGGATGGATAGATAGATAGATAGATAGATAGATAGATAGATAGATAGATAGATAGATAGATAGATAGATAGATAGATAGATAGATAGATAGATAGATAGATAGATAGATAGATAGATAGATAGATAGATAGATAAATGAATAGATGGATGAATAGATGGATGAATAGATGGAAACATGGATGGCTAGATGTATAGATAGATAGATGGATGGATGGATGGATAGATTGATAGAATGAATGTATGGATAAATGGATGGATGGATGATAGATGAATGGATGGATAAATTATTGGATAGATAGATAGATAGATAGATAGATAGATAGATAGATAGATAGATAGATAGATAGATAGATAGATAGATAGATAGATAGATAGATAGATAGATAGATAGATAGATAGATAGATAGATAGACACATGGATGGCTAGATGGATAGATGGATGGATGGATAGATTGATAGAATGAATGTATGGATAAATGGATGGATGGATGGATGGATGGATGGATGGATGGATGAATAGATGGACAGATGGACACATGGATGGCTAGATGTATAGATGGATAGAAAGATGGATGGATGGATGGGTTGATAGAATGAATGTATGGATGGATAGATAAATGGATAGATGGATGGATAAATTGATGGATGGATGGATGGATGGATGGATAGGTAAAAAGATGGCTGTTGGATGGATAGATGAATGGCTGCTTAAAAGGATGGATGGATAGATAAAAGGATGGATAGATGTGATCCTGATCAGTGAGTGTGTTACTGTAGAACTGATGGGTGTTGTAGGTGGTTGTTACAGTGCAGTATGTGGTTGTAAGGTTGTTGTAAGTTGTTCAAACTGTGAACAAATATACTGTAGATGATGTGATCCTCATCAGTGAGTGTGTGTGAGTGTGTGTGTGTGTGTGTGTGTGTGTGTGTGCATTAGTGTGTAACTGTACCTCACTCAGTGTGCTGTAGAGCTGGAAGATCTGGCCTTCTCCCTCAACCTGTCGCACACAGAGTTTACAGGAGAACTCACACACACTCAGAGCCTGACGTTCCAGAGTGAAAGAGCAGTGCAGCCGCCGCACCGAGCCGCTCCACACCTGAGAGAACAGAACCTCCTGCACATACAATATATGGTAGTTGTCAACATTTGAAGTGGATCATTTGAAGTCCTAAAAGCAAAATGTGTATTGAATACAAAACCATTCAGTATTAATATTGATTTATTTATTTATGAACTATAAAATAATTTTTTTTTGATTCACTTCAAAATTTGAATACTGTATATCTTTCACCCATGTTCATAATTGTTACTACTTCTCAAGGGCGTAGATTTGCTCTTGACATTGGTGGGGACATACAGTATTTCCCTAGAGCTACACTGAACAGCACAAATTCTGCGCTTTCAAACAGTTTTGCGCTTTTAAAAACATGAATAAAGTGCTTAATAATATAAATAAATACGTAATTATGCAAATATCAATCACATCCCATGGAGCAAAAGTCAATTTACATGATTTTACTGCAGTCAGGCTTTGAGGAGGTATGAATGTCCAGAAATTTGGAAGGTGTAAGGCAATTTACCTGTTTTATTTCGATTATTGTTTCTCATAATCAAAAAAATCTAAACTTAAAACGAACTTCACGTTCTGCACGTTTACATTACTAAAGGTTGATGGAGCATTATTTTATTTTGAAGTCAATTAAATTATTGGTAGGGACATTTTAGTATTTGGTAGATATTGGTGGGGACACGTCCCCTCCATCCATGCTAATTCTAAGCCATTTGCTACTACTACTAAAACAGCAAAGTGTTATAATATATGTTAAATGTTACATTAAATAATAATAATAATAATATTACTACTAATAATAGAAAAAAATAGAAGTAATAATAATAATAATAATAACAATAATAATAATAATAATAATAATAATAATAATCGAAGTAATATAATAATAAAAAAATAATAATAGAAATAGTAATAATAATAACAACAACAACAACAACAACAACAATAATAAATTATTATTATTATTATTATTATTATTAATATTACTATTATTATTATTACTTTGATATTATTATTAATAATAATAATAATAATATAGAAGTAATAATAATAGTAATATTAATAGAAATAATAATAATAATAATAATAATAATATCTAAAATTAACAACTAATAGTTTTCAAATGTTATTAATAACAAAATCCTGTAATGACAACATCAATATTAATTTTGTACATAATAACAAATATCGTAATTTGAACAAATCAATATTGAGTTAAATAATTTAATATAAAATATATAAGCATTTCAACTATTAAAATAATTTACAAAATGTATTTCAGGACACTGAGTACCCTCCAATCCTTTTCTAAAAAAAAAAAAAACACTTCCTAAATAATACCTTAAGTTATATTGAATGGAACAATACACAAAACACTGAATGTTGCTACTAATATTTATATTCATACTGTTTACTTCAGTGAAGGTGGTGAGTGTGTTGTGTTGTACCTGGTATTTGGTCAGAAGTTTGCTCCTCCACTGGCAGTGGATATCGTGGACTGACAGTCTCAAGTTGTGGTTGCTATAAGTGAAGTTCAGAGACTTTGGTTCATCCAGCAGTTTGCCACCCATCTGTTTTTCTATCTGCAGCACCTCCTGACCATACAAACAAACAAACAAACAAACAAACAAACAACACCACTTTTTTATTATAAAGAGTTTGGTGTAAAAACAACACAAACTTCCCAACCTCCCATATAACCAGGACATTTACTGTACAAAGAAGCTTAAATGTATTCAGATTAACAAAAATAATTCACAACATTTGGACAATTATATAACATATGTTACAAAAAAATTAACTTATAATATTGTAATAAAAGTAATTAAAATAACTGATGATAAGAACAGATTAAAAATAGGCAAATGAATTTGTTAGGATTAGGGTTTTTATTTGTATAATTATATTTTACTAAATTACTAAATCACCAAAATAATAAAAGTCTGCAGCATTTACAATAATAATAATAATAATAATAATAATAATAATAATAATAATAATAATAATAATTGACAGTATTAAATATATAACATTAAATGAACAACAACAACAACAACAACAATAATTATAAAAATAAATAAATAATAGTAATAATAATAATAATGATATTAATAATAATAATGATGATGATGACGATAGTAATAATTCACAGTATTAATTAAATAACAAATTTCATAATAATAAAAATAATGATAATAATAATAATAATAGTTTACAGTATAAATATAAAAATAAATTATGATCAATAATAAAAATAATATTAATATTGATGATGATGATGATAATGATGATAATAAATCATAATTTACAGCATTAAGTATATAACATTAAATGAAAAAAATTATATTTATGTTAATAATAATAATAATGATAGTAATATCAATAATAATAATTCATACTATTAATTAAATAACATTAAATTAATAATAATAATAATAAAATATTAATTTACAGAATTAATTATATAACATCAAATTATTATTATGAAATCATAAATTATAATTTAAAAAAATAAAATAATAATAATAATAATAATAATAATAATAATAATAATAATAATAATAATAATAATAATAATGGTGATGATGATGATGATGATGATGATGATGATGACAATAATAATAATCATAATTCACAGCAATAATTATTTAACACTACAATACTAATAACAGTAACAACAACAAATAAGAATAAAAAAATAATCATAATAATCATAAAATTATATTTATATGATTTATGATATTTATGATGATATTTACTTTCAAAATTTATTTATTTCTCTGTGTGATCAGTGTCACTCACTTTGAGCGTGTCCTCTGTGTCGTCGAGACAGTAAACTCTGATATGGTAATCCAGCCCTGGAGTGACCACTGGTCCAAACACGGCCAGTTTGATTCGCTTGGCCGCTGATTGACAGATACTCTGGCCAATCAGAGAGTAGGAACCCAGAGTCTCAGTCAGGATGTGACACGCCTCCTCGCCCAACTGAACGTAACAAGCAGTAGTGAAGTTCTCCTCTCCAACCACGACCACGTCCTGACAACACAACACACATGCAATTATACAGGATCAAACAAAGAAATCTCTCTCACGCATGCAGTTTAGACTTGATCGACATTCTAGTCAAAAGTTTACACCCCCCCCCCGAACCAGCGACCTTCTTGCTGTGAGGTGACAGTGCTAACCACTGAGCCACCGTGCCACCTTGTGTTGGTACAACATGAATAAATTAATTAAGTTAACTTAGTTACGTTTCTATAAATGTAGGTGAATTGAACATAAAACAATTCAGTTGCCCACCCCAAAAAAAAAAAAAAAAAAATTTCAAGATTTGTGTTGATTTGGCTCATTTTAAGTAGGTAGTTTGAACAGACAGCAAACATATATTTTTGAGTGTGTGAGTGCAGATGAAGGACAGTGGACAGTTTAACTGCTCAGGACAAAAATAAAAGTCTCACAAAGAACGGTCACAAAACATAAAAGCCGTTGTGGATCATCCAGGTAACAGCACCAAATATGACATTTTTATGATCACACCAATTTTGTTAAATCTATATATATATATATATATTGCTGATATTTTATTATGCATGTATAACTACACTGACAAGCCACTTTATTAGGGACTCCAGTCCAATTGCTTGTTAACGCAAATTTCTAATCAGCCAATCACATGGCAGCAACTCAATACATTTAGGCATGTAGACATGGTCAAGATGATCTGTTGCAGTTCAAACTGAGCATCAGAATGGGGAAGAAAGATGATTAAAGTGACTTTGAACATGGCATCATTGTTGGTGCCAGATGACCTGGTCTGAGTATTTCAGAAACTGTTAATCTACTGGAAATTTCATGCACAACCATCTCAATGGTTTACAAAAAAACTTATGACCACAGTGTACCCATCTTCTGATGGCTACTTCCAGCAGGATAACACATGCGTCATAAAACACACACGTGAATCCTCTTAAACTAGTTCTTGAACATGACAAGGAGTTCTCTGTATTCAAACGGCCTCCACAGTCACCAGATCACAATCCAATAGAGCACCTTTGGAATGTAGTGGAACGTGAGATTTACATCATGGATGTGCAGCTGACAAATCTGCAGCAACTGCGTGATGCCATAATGTCAATACGGAGCACAATCTCTGAGGAATAATTCCAGCACCTTGTTGTATCTATTCCAGGAAGGATTAAGGCAGTTCTGAAGGCAAAAGAAACCAACCCGGTACTAGTAAGGTGTACCTAATAAAGTGACTGGTGAATTTTTGTTTATGTAAAGCACTTTGAAACACCATTGTGTATTGCTATGTAAATAAACGTGTCCTGCCATTAATTGTTCTATAAGCACTACTTGTTATTCTTCCTTTGTGAAACACAACCCAGACATGTTTTTGACAGGTGGTGTGAGATATATATCCCTACAACCTGATTGTTCAGGACATTTGGCCTCCACAAATGAAAAAAAAAAAAAAAAAAAAAAAAAAAAAAAAAATATATATATATATATATATATATATATATATATATATATATATATATATATATATATATATATATATATACACACACACAAACCTGCACGAACACACTTGGAATGCGAGGGAATCCCGGACCTGATAAAGGAAGCAGATTGGTCCTGATAAATAAACCCCATCCTTTCTCCCGCTCCACTCCTGCAATAATTGAATTTTGTGTTGTCTATTTGTAGAGCCCTGCCATGCACAGCAGGCCAATTTACCCAGCCTGCCTTCACTGATAGTTACATTTATTTTCCAGTCATGTTTGCCTCTCTCTGCAGGATAAGTAGTTTATTGAAATGGAGCGGCTGATCTCCAGAGTTTCCCCCTGACCTGATTCCATTTGCTGCCGTATGCAAATCCCTCACCTCCCATTGGTCGTGCTGCGTGTGGCTCTTGAGGATGATTCGCCAGTTGTCGGCGTGAGCGTGTGCGCAGTGGTGAAGGGTGAGGATGACGGGACGGGTCAACAGGGCGCCTGCGGGACCACAGCTCACCACTGCACTGAGAACAGCCTCTCCTTCAGCCACCGGTGGCCTGATAAACACACACACACACACACACACACACAAGTACGCACACGCACGCACAGACGCACACACGCATGCACACGCACAGACAGACAGACAGACAGACAGACAGACAGACACATAGAAGCAAGCATGCATAGAAACACACACGCAAGCATGCACACAAACAGACACACACACACATACACAGAAAAACATAGGCAAGCATGGACATACACACATGCACAGATACACACAAACGCAGGCATGCACACACACACACACACATGCAAGCATGCACGCACACACACACGTGCAAAGGCACACAAAGACACACACAGACACACAGACACACAGACACACACACACACACACACACACACACACACACACACACACACACACACACACACACACACACACACACACACACACACACACACATAGAGACGCACAGAGGCAAGCGTGCACAGAAAAACACGCAAGCAGGCACATACACACAGACAGACACGCATGCATGCACACAAACATGCACACAGACACACGCACACACATGCAGACACACACAAACAGACATGCACACACAAGCATGCGCACACACATGCACACACAAACACAGACACATATATGCACACAGATACACATGCACACACAGACACACACGCACACGCACAGACACAGACACGTGCACACACGCACAAGCATGTACACAAGCACACAGACACACAGACACACACAGACACATACACACACGCGCACACGCGCACACACACACACACACACACACACACACACGCACACGCACACCCACACGCACACGCGCACACACACACACACAAAAGAATTGCTTGGTTATTAGAAAGTTTAAAAGAACAGACAGTATTTTAAAGAGCCACTATTATGGGTTTTTGAAAATGAGCTTCCATGCAGTGTGTACTGCAGCTCTGAGTGAAGGGAAACATCCAGCTTAGGGTTAAATCTAAAAAGTGCTCCGCATTTAAAACTATTGAGTCTTTAACTCGGAGTCGAACAAATGAATCGAGTTGGGTTCGGATCTTTTGCCAGAACGCGTTGACGTTGGTGAGGTACATCACCAAATATGAAATGCCAGTTCCAGTAAAACGTGAACTCGCCTTTACCTTCAGACACTAGTGGAGCGCTGAGCATCAAGGGACTAATCATGACACGAAGATGACGATCACTGACAGATGGAGATTCGGCTGCGCGGAATAAATGATTAAAGTTCATTTTTACAACAGTGCCACAGTATAGCCAACCGTGTGCTGTGTTTGTTCCTCATAACATGTAAGTGTCATTAAAATTGTTGTTTTGTTTTGTGTAGTTTGCAAAATATGTATTTAATTGTGTGTTGTAAGTTATAATCACTTCACGCAGCCTGTGATCACTTATCTATTATAAGTCAGAAATTGTAATCTATCTCTCAGATTAAATCTGTATGCGGCTGTTCACATATCGCATCCAAAACCATGTTAAAACCGTGACGCGTGCTTCTTCCTTTACCAATTTAACTCTGTTTGTGAGTTTGCGATCCTCTGCTGTTTGCCTTAGCTATGGTCACCATCAGCTGTTCCTCACATGCGCGGTGCGGTCAATTTTCAAAATAGTTAAACTTTTTCCACTGTGTGGATTAATACTGAATGTGTGGCATTGTTATTACTTGGAGTTGTGGTTAAGCTAAAGATGCAGAAAAGCTAGTCCATGCTTTTATGACTTCTAGACTGGATTACTGTAATGCTCTGTTTGCATTACAGTATTAACAAACTATTAACAAACTTCAGCTAGTACAAAATGTAGCTGCCAGAGTTCTTATCAGGTCTAAAAAATATGATCTTATCACCCCACTTTTGGGAACAAATGAATCGCTGAACTAATCATTTGGGAATCTTTGGGATAATTAGGTACAAATAAATGCATTTTAGAAAACAACCAAACCGTTTTTTTGACCTTGTATGCACATCAGCCTCTTGTTGGAGACCCATTAAAACAAAAATTTGATTAATTTTACTATTTATAAATTATTTATAATGCAAAATAATGGCTCTTTTTAATAATTAATTAATTATAATTTAATTACTTATTTTGAAACAAGTTGCACTAGTTGCACTTTTGCTGAATTCAACTATTATTATTATTATTATCTTTTTTAATAAGTAATTAAAATACATTTAGACAAATACTTTTTTAATGGCAGTGTATCACAGTTTACACACAAATAATTTACATAATAAATGTTCCCTGAGCATTACATCATCATATTACAATACAGTAATTGATGCTGAAAATGCAGTACTGCATCACTGAATACATTATATTTTAACAATTTTTAAAGATGTTTTTTGCAAAAATAAAGTTAAATTACACAAATAAATTACAATTATATTGTTTTTACTACTTCTGGCATCAAATAAATGCAGCTTCATTAAAAAAAAAAAAAACATCCACAATGAAACTATTCCACATGTAGTTTTCATCAGTTTTGATAATAATACATTTCTTGTCAATGCTTGTACCTTACAAAACATACAAAACCTTACAAAAATGAACAAATGTATGTACTGTACAGCTTTCAAAATGCCCATTAACATTATATAATATTGAAAAAAGTGCATGTGGATTTACATTTCTTCATTTAGCAGATGCTTTTAACCTAAGCGGCATACAATACAATCAAGATATAATGCAAATATTATAAACACAAATTAGTCCCTCACATGTGTGTTGGTAAAAAATGTGAGCAGAGAAAATTAATACAAAAGTGGATGGTATCTATACTTGGTTTCCATGCTCAAAACACCACCTTTTCTTTAGAGAATATTTAGTCCTAAAATGTTTTATTAAATTATTAATTCCCAATTAGAAATTTACATGAGCAATAATCTATTTTAAACTGTCTGGAGTCAAGCATACAGAAACACAGAAAGATCTGTGTGTTTGTGTTTCAGAGTCTGTATGCCATTTTTTAAATATAATTATGTTTTTTTTAAGGATATTTTTGTTGTTGCACTATGATTGTTAATTTATTTAGTTAGCTTATTCTACTTAATTGGGTATAACCATTATTTTTAACTCGCAATCTTATACTCAAACAACATTGCAATCCTACTTGTTAATATTAGTTTTTAAATTAGTTAACATCTGCCAGTGAGCAAAACACTATGTTCTTTGGGTAATTTGTGTTTACTAACTCATCATCATCATCATCATCCTTAGCGCAACAATCCATTACTGGATCCTGGCTGTCTCAAGTCATTTCCGCCAATGTTCTCTGTCCCGGGCAACTGCCCACCAATTCCTTATTCCTAAAACATTGGCGTCACTGCTAATGCAGTCTCGCTATCTTGGTTTAGGCCTTCCTACTTTTCTTTTGCCTACCGGGTCAGTACTGAAGATTTCATTTTTGGATGGCATTTTCACCCATACGTATGACGTGTCCTGCCCACCTTAGCCTCGCAAGTCTGACATATTTAACTATATCAATTTCTTTATACAAGGCTGTAAGCCCATTGTTGTGACGTATCCTCCATTGATTATTGTGTTTTATTGGGCCATATATTCTCTTCAGAATTTTTCTTTCAAAAACTAAGAGCTTTTGTTCTATGGCCTATGTCATTGTCCACGTTTCTGATCCAAAGGCCAGGACTGGGCGAATCAGGACTTTATAGAGGGTTATCGTTGTCTGTCTAGGCAGAGAACGGTTCTTCATGTACTTCATGAGTCCGTAATAGCTTTTATTTGCAGATGCAAGTCTCTGAATCACGTCTTGATTTAGATCATTGTTTGTAATAATCACTGATCCTAGATACTTGAACTTATTTACCTTTTCAAATATATAATTTCCCACTTGTATCGTTGGGTTGGTCTGGCGGGCATCACTGGTCATATACTTCGTCTTGCTTTCACTTATCTCAAGTCCCATTTTCCAATTTTATTTTATAAATGTGTTTACTAACTAGCATCATCAAATGAAACCTTATTAAAACGTTTAACCAATAATCAAATACCTACAAATGGAAACAGTGGAAGATATTTTGAAGAAAGCTGGAAACCTGTAGCCATTGACATCCACAGTATTTGCTTTCCCTACCAGTGATGGGTAATTAACTTTAAAAGAGAAATCGAATACAAATTACTGATTACTGGAAAACTGTAATGTGATTACATTACTAATTACTGCATGTAAAAACTGCAGCTCTTTCAGTAATTTAATATTTACTGAAAAACATTACAATGGGTTTAACAGAGCAGTTAAACAAACTCAAAAAAAACTTGAAGAGATAGTGCTCCCAAAACTTTTAGTTCCCTCATCATTTACTTAATCTTAACTCGTCCCAAACCTGTTTGTCTTTCTTGTATTTCCTGAACACAAAAGAAGACATTTTGGGGGGAAAAAAATGGATAGCATTGACATAAGAAGAAAAGCACATACTACGTCTGTAGTTATAAAGACAAACTTTAAATGCTTGAATGTTGAATATTTGAAATCTGGAATATGTGAGCGCGTCGTTATTTGTGAACAGCCTCATAAACAGCTACGCTTCTCTTCACAGTTTCAGAAGTTACCTTCACTCCGGATCCTGTACAAAAATTCAATTTAGCTTGTTTAGGCTGAGTTGGGCTGCTGTGTTTTTGAGCGCTGGTGTCCTCCTTCAAGACAAGTATTATTTTTGAACAAGTTGCTGGTTGAGTTAAAAGCAGGGGTGGACTTAGTCATTTGGGGGCCCTAAGCAAATCCAGGTATAGGGCCCTAAACTGTTAAAAAGTATATATATATATATATATATATATATATATATATATATATATATATATATATATATATATATATATATATATATATATATATAGTTGAAGTCAGAATTATTAGCCCCCCCTGAAGTATAAGGTTCCTGTATTTTTTCCCCCAATTTCTGTTTAACGGAGAGCAGATTTTTTCAGCACATTTCTAAACATGATAGTTTTAATAACTCATTTCTAATAACTGATTTATTTAATCTTTGCCATGATGACAGTAAATAATATTTGACTAGATATTCTTCAAGACAAGATATACAGCTTAAAGTGATATTTAAAGGCTTAACTATTAATTATGTTAACTAGGAAGGTTTGGGGAATTAGGCAAGTTATTGTATAATGATAGTTTGTTCTGTAGACAGTCGGGAAAAAAAATAGCTTAAAGGAGCTAATAAATTGGACCTAAAAATGGTGTTTAAAAAATTAATAACTGCTTTTATTCTAGCTGAAATAAAACAAATAAGACTTTCTCCTGAAGAAAAAAAAAACATTATTAGACATAATGTGAAAATTTCCTTGCTCTGTTGAACATCATTTGGGAAATATTTTAAAAAGAAAAAAAAACAAAGGGGGTCTAATAATTCTGACTTCAACTGAATATATAAAATATATATATACAGAGAGAAGATTACTTCCACCCATTTCTAAAGATAATAGTTTTAGTAACTATGTATATTATGTAATGTAAAATTGAAAGCAATAAATTCACAAATTAAAAATCAAGTTCACAATCTATGTACAGGGGTGTACATATTCAGTCCTGTAGGGCCAGTGTCCTGCAGATTTTAGATCAACCTTGTCTCCACACACCTGCACAGGTGTTTCTAGAAAGAGCTTGATTAGCCCAGGTGTTTCTGATTGAAGCTGGAACTAAACTTTGCAGGACACCAGACCTCCAGGACCAAGTTTGGGCACACTGATGAACAGTTAATTAGCTGTTTTTGTTATTAGTTTTTAATTTTAATAATAATAATAATAATAATAAAACATTTTAAATAATTTGATTAACAATCCATCAAACTAACAATTTTTCATATGAATTGAGTAATGGCTGTTTGTGAATGTGTGGGCATTTCACTGTGAAATGTTATGTGAACAGGCCCTCGATCTCTTTACAAGCTCACAGCGCTCATCATCTGACAGCTGCTTTGGCCAGACAGCAGGATCGCAGAGGAAGCTGCGTTTTGTTGTTTGTCGTATTTCTACTTTTTGTTCTCAAAATTGTCATTCCTGCACACTCTACTCTGATCGCTGGCACACTGCTGTCACTAAACTCTCTGTGATTGTGAACAACAGCAAGAAAAGAATAAACTTTCTATTTAACTCATTACATTTTGAACAGAGGAGAAGCACATCGGTTTGAATGTACCAGGGAAATACCATTTGTCGGTACGCAGAGGAATGATCTGCTTTCAATGCTGTAGGTGCGAGAGACGTCTGTGTGCCACTGAGCCGCCTTTGTGTGCTCTAAGGCGGGGGAGAGACTGATGGCATCACCCACAGCTCATCATGAAGAAAAACGTTGGGAACAGTACAGCAAGGACACATGAGAGTCTCAAAAGTCTCCAGTGACACCTAAAAACATACGCTAGTCGCTTTTTTTTTTTGTTGTTGAAAATCTGCCGCTAGCATGGTCTGAAAAGTTGCTAGTTAGCAACATTGGCTGGCAGTAATCTTTTTGATAGAAGCGCTCATACTGAGCAATACAGACAGAACGTACCATTAATCATGGGGGCCCCCGGTTTTGAAAAGAAGTAATAACGTTAAAATCTTAACAGTTATGGACAGATTTTACAACATATGATAAGAAATGTATAAAAAAGCTATTTGTTTAATATAGGCTTCTTGGCATTGGTCAAGGGCCCCTAATTCCCCGTGGCCCTAATCGGCTGGTTACCTCGCTTATTGGTTAAGTCCACCCCTGGTTAAAAGCAGTCGGAAGTTCTTTAGAGACAGGACGTAGACTACATTTCAAGGCAATATTTTAGTTTTTACACTCAACAAAATCAAAGTATTGTCTGTAATTCCACTTAAAGAAGCAACCACTCTCGTCTGCAATCATTTCAACTTGTGTTCTCCAGCAATTTAAAAGCAAAGAACCATTAACTGACGGTGCAGTGGAAAACGTGATTTGTGAGTGATGTTAAGCAAGAATCTGCAAATATTGTTTTGTATATTCTGAAATCTATATTTATAACACAAGTAACGCTGACTTTGGTAACTGTAATCAAATTACACAAATGTAAAATCTAATTAGTTACATTACTGTTCCTCAAAAGTGTAATTAGAACAGTAACACGTTCCCTACTATCGAAGTAAAGGGTTACAGATTTTCAGCTTTCTTCAAATCATCTTCTTCAGCGTTTATTAGAATAAGAAAAAATACAAAAGGGGAAGTAAATGGCGAGTTAATTTAAATGTGTGCGTGAACTATCCCTTTAGTTTGATGATATGTTCTGCAGATACAGTAGTATAGTTCACCGTTCACAAAGCAGACAGATTTGATTTTTTAATAGTGACTTAAATAAACATTTAATAACCCACTGTGAATCCTGAATGTGTGTTTAGTAAGTGGGTTGTGTGTTTTTGTCTTACCTCATGCTTTCTGTCCTCTGTAAGCTCACATACATCTCATACACTCGACCCTGAGGAATCGCACCAGCTGGAACCAACAGACTCACACCTGAAACACACATTAGACAGATATAGACATGTACTACAGCAGGGGTCACCAACCCTGTTCCTGGAGAGCTACCTTCCTGCAGAATTCAGTCCCAACCCTGATCAAACACACCTGAACCAATTAATAGTACCTAAAGCAGCACTTGATAATTACAAACAGGTGTGTTTGGTGAGGGTTGCAACTGAAATGTGCATGAAGGTAGCTCTCCAGGAACAGGGTTTGTGACCCCTGCTACAGCATATGTATGTCCTACATGGTAAAAAAAAAAAGTCCTTGTTGGCTTAAATTTTCTAAACTGAATTAAATTAACCTAATGAGTCCATTGAACTTATATTATGTAAAACTGATTTAAAACAGCTGGCGTAACTTATAAAATTAAGTTAGAACAGGATTAACTTAGTTTAACAAGTTACAATGAACTAAAAACATGCCGTCAGGACTAATTAATCATACAACTTTTACAGTGTATAGAAGGTATAGAATGTCTTTGGACTATAGAACTAGATAGTGAATCAGAAACCACACGCCTTGTAGACTAGACAATCATTCTTGTGTAAAGCGCTATATAAATAAACTTGAATTGAACTCTACGTTTTTATCTTTCTGTAAAAGCAACAAGAACATGCTAATTGTAGAATTTGCATTTTGAAAA